AAGACCTACGCTTGCAGAGGGTGTACCCGGATACTTTTCTTCCTAGAAAATCTTGGGTATGTCTAAAGGTATAGTTCCTGTCTTAAGTCAACAAAGAGAAATTCAGCGTTTCTCAAAAACTAAGGAACTAAGTAAAGATCAAATAATGATTGAATGCAATACTGACGTCACGAGAGAAGTAATTAATATTAAAATAATTGTAACTTCTTCATACTAGCATTCGAATCGCATTCAGATCTAATTTTCAGTAAGCTGTGCTTACACTGTAAGTGACGCTCTAATCTTGTGACCACAGAAACATAGCATTTCCACTTCAGGTTCAGTAGGAAGAAAAGCACAATAAACACCGACAGGTAACGTCAAGCCAATAATTGGGTAGACTATTCTCATAATGAACCTGAAGTTTAGAGTGACTGTAGCATTATACAGTGGGAGCAACTAGTCAATATTTACTAACCTTACATAAAATTATTATTTTTTCTTGATGCACTCTGTCTCTTTGACAGCGAGAACATATGATCGTCTGCGTAGCAACCAGCATTTCCGTGAGCGTGAACATTTTTTTCTGGTGTGAATAACACTCTATCCAGCCAGTTACTTCAGTGAGAGACCTAAAATCTAGAATGACAAAATAAGCACCACCCCAAAATTCTAATGACTCAAGAATGCAAACGAGGGAAAAGAAACTGGGTAAAACAATTAAGATAAGCGAGTGTCAACTCAGCTGAACAGTATAATTGATATGATTGTGCTCTCATATAGCTAAGGGCGCTAATGTAAAAGAGTCTGGTTGCATTCTCTCAGCAATGAAGATCGAGTTACACACATATCTTGGGACTGATCCGATAGTGGAGTGATGTGAGAGATATGTGATACATGAGGCGCTGCTGCGCATTTAGTTTCGCGTATAATGTTGGCGTGACAATAAGTGCACTTAAGTTTAGTTAATCGAACCCACCTATACGCACAGGTAGAAAGATTCACGCATGTGTAACAGAAAATCTCTAACTTAAATCATGCATGATCGTGAGCGATGTTCAGATCAAAAGTATTGCAGATAGCTCATTTCCATTGTCATAAAGAATTCTCAGCTACAAGAAAAATCATTGATCTGACAGACGTCGTCGGGTGAAGTAGTGCTCGTGCAAGTGTACTTATCACAAAGCATAGTGGAGAAGATCGAGTAGTGAATTCTCCAAGCAGTTTGCACACTAGGGATATCAAACAGTGGTAATATCTAGTTCATTACTGTTTAGTGATTTTCTTATATTGCTTGTGAATATAAGCCTAGTGACAAGGAGAGTATATACGTGTGTCAATCATCTAGCATCATCTGCATCTAATTTTACATCTTTGTACCATTAGAATGATAGAGCAATTGTAAGAATTTATGGTTCTGGTGCTCGAGACGGGCAACTCTGCTCCGCGATCTACTGAGGGGTTTAAATAATCTAAATTATCCTGTTGATCTCTATCTTATAATCCACATCGAGATATATACTATATTAAGTTCGATGAGACACTATTTAGAGGAAATAGATCGCACAGTGTCATGGCGCCACTTTTTTTCTCTGTGTCATACGTGCGAGTCAATAGAGAGAAGAAGGCGAGCTGCGATCTAGGAGGAGATTTTGCTAGGTCAAAGTATCTAATAAAGATGTTAGTAGCTGATATTACAAGAGCTTATGATCAAATTTTAGAGTATAGAGATAGTGTAATAAATGAATGCAGAGGCGTGATATTATTGCAAACACGAGACTCGTATCAGTACTAATCTTCTCGCTCATATACTAGCAAATCAACGATAGAATATCACCCGAATTATAAACGCACAGGTCTCTCTTATGATCAGTGTATCATAAAGCTTTGAATGAAAGTCAACGCCTAAGCTGCACACATCTACCATCATGGTCGTAATGAACCTTATACATGTATAAAATGGGACCATAAGTTGGAGACTCTTCATCTATATCTCTAAGATGACCGCTACTAGGATATCAATAATTGCGTTTGATCCCTATATCTCAACTTGATAGGAGTGATATTTGAATTGTACATACTCTATACGCGATATTGAGACAATGTATTGAAACTCGACTAATTTATCACAATGCTCGTTATAGAGCAACACGATAATAACATTTTTTGGATATTATTATAGAAGCATTAAACAAATTAAAATGTAAAAAAGGAAAAATGAAGTGATCTTAATAACTTCAAGAAACTCCAAATGTGGCACAGTGTGTGGTGTAATGTGAGCTGTTTCGAGCCCACTCATTTGTCCACCACTCTCAGTCGCTATTCTCTTACCGAAGTCCTCATTAATCTATTTCCTTTTTTCAGTGTGTACCTGCAAACGTCACAATTTTATGTTCTCCTTATAATATGAAAGGATTTATATAAGGTTACTATTCCATCGTTACGACGCAAGATGTCACAGAATGTAATGGCTTAATCTTCATCATTTTAAAATATAATGTAAAAATTCAACATCTATGCAGTTACTCTGAGAATCTACATCATTTGTTTATCACTATTACAGTGCATAGAAGATTAACAATTCCATCGAAATCATCTAATCAAGCTACATCAAGAATACAAAATCTCCGAAGCACTCATACAAGCAATAGATTTATTATATATACTTTATACTTTTAGTAAATGTGTGCACGTTAAGAATAGGCATGCTCTATCGTTATCGGTAATATGCTCTGAAACCTTGCTTTAGGGTTAATCATTGCGATGTGGAGGCTGGACTCTTGCGCGCAGATGAAACCGCGGAGCACGAGCGACGTGGCCTCGCAGACGAGCGCGACCGCCATGTAGTTCCGCCAGTCAACTCTGAGGCAGCATGCTCAGAGAGGCGAACGCATCCGATGAATGGGATATCGAGACCACATCTGACTGACAGAGCTGAGAACGCGTGACGTAGCTCCAGTACAACAACCTGGAGCCACAGCACCGTATGTAGGAGGGGGCAGGAGCGTTGGAAGCGTGCAACCATAGTCGCTGGGCGGTGCAGCACGGAGTTGGAGTATGAGATTCCGGATGTGAGGCGACGAGTGCAAGTACCCTTTTCCATGGTCGCGGATGATTGGTCGACGAGCTGTAATGAAGCAGAGAGGCAGAAAGAACGCGATCGATAGTGACATTTTGATGGAGAGATACTATCCGCAAGGAAGGGTGAGAAAGAAGGGTTTAAAGTACTGGTGCTTTGTGATCCAACATGAGTCGTGAGTTTTTAGGTGTCCCAAAGTCACCGTGAGTCTGATGCGTAGAAGTATTTATGTCTATTGTAAAGTACACGAATCTCCATACATATTCCGTGAGTTTAAGATCTATAAAGAGCGATGATGAGGTCTTAGATAGGAGACACACATAGTAGTAGAAGGCACGACTTTTATGTTGATATGGTTATTGTGATGTTCAGAGCACTTACTCCGATATGCTGTATGTAGTAGCCACTCAGCTGTATATCAAATACACAAGAAAGATATCTATTGATGAGATTGATTAGTAACCTGTATACGAATAGTGCGTAACTATTTGGTGGTTGATCCAGTGTTCTTCTAATATGTTATGTAGTGACATAAAACTGAAAAAATGTACATCTATGATCACCACGACGCAAAGTAAATTCGGGCAAAACCGTTATAATAATGTGCATTCATTATGCGAGAGTAACATATTTTTTTCATATTATAAATACAGGAGCATTAGTTTTGAGGTCTTGCATCTTTATATTTTAATTTTAAAAAGTTCCTAATATAATTTCGAAATACGTTGTGTCTTTGCTTTACCAGTACGTCTTATCTATTAATTGGTAGACTATCGAGGATTTGAAATTTTTTAATAGTATTATTAAATATATAAGATAAACAAATAATATGTTCTCCAATTTATATTGATAATGGGCCAATTGATTAGCCTGATAAGTATGTGAGAGTTAGATACCTCGGTTTTGTGCATATCACGCTCTTATTGTGATAATGGAATCTAAATATCGACTCATATGGAAGCTCCAAATGGAGTGGGATCTCGAGTACGACAAGATAAATTCATATATTAGAATCTGTCATCTAGTCGTATCTATTAAATATTCTCAATATTATCTATAGGAGTAGACGAGGATATCTAGACCATAGTCGTCAGAGATACTATTGATACTGGTCCTAAACGATGTCTTTTGTGATTTGTGATAATTTCTTTACAAACATATGAGTCAGGTATAAGATCAGATCTATTAAAGTTGCGTTATAAAGCTGTCGTCTATAGTAGTGTAGAAAATCCGAACGTAAGATAGATCAAATCACGTTAATATCATACAGTTACGAGACGTACGTGATCCTATTCATAATTTGTGTATAACTCGATAGGAGTAAAAGTTGAAAAAGTATTGGTAACAGTGTCATCCTCGAATCGTTGTATATAGTGACATGATCATATGATACTGTAAGACAGCAACGACACTCCTACAGCCACTTGACTCCAATTCATAAATTTCACCAGACTTTTTGATTAGTCTGCCTCCGCTCCTCTACTTTGGTTGCCTTGTTTATTAATTTTCATTTTCTTTCTTTTCTCTCTTCTCTCTCTAATATTATTCCTCTAAACCTCCCTCACCTTTTTACCTAGCATCACCATACATTAACATCTCTCTCTCCTCCGAAAACTGCGTCCTAAAGACTTCATTAACACACACACTCTCTCTCTCTCTCACAACAAAACCCAGAAGAAAAAATCTCGAGACATGATATTGCTCACGGGTATGCTGTCAAAACCATTGCTGTCGGATTCTGGGAAAAACCCACATCTCAAAGAAGAAATACCAACCTCTTACCGAGTCGCATTCCCAGGAGCGATGATACTCAGTCCCTCTCCCTACCTATTCCCTCTTGGCGCTACTTCTCGTGAACGGGGTGATAGCTCCGGTCGTCAACGTCCGTGCGAATGCGCTCTTGGTACAACCGGATACGAGGACTCCTGCAGATCATGAAGGAATGCAATTGAAAGTATTGGCTGCACATTCCGATTTGCGGACGGAGACTCTAGTTATCCACGACAATTCTGTTTGCCTGACGCAGCGAGCCCCTTGGGCTCCGCAGAGAGGTGAGACATTCGTCCTGCGAGCCGGCTCTGAAACAATGCGGGTACCTGTGTCTCACCGGACGCGGCGTCGTGAAAGGAGAGCGATGCTTTACATCTTGAGACTCAGTATCGGACATTGAATTGTTGTGATATGGAGCTGCGATACTATACAGAACTATATAGATGAGGTGAACACGAGAAATTGATTTAAGTAATGCAGAAGTGAAAAGAACTGAAATATATGATTTGCTGTGTTGGCTTTTGTGACTATGAATGAATAAGTTGATGGTTGCTCTGAGATAAGATATAAAGTTTGTGCCGATGTGTTACCGAGCGACTATGTGTGTTAGATACTTAATGAGGATGAACTTGTATTTGATAGATATTTAATGTCTGCAGTTGAGCAGAGATAGTTTGGAAATGTGATTGCTTGATGAGTGACTATTGGATTGGTAAAGAGTCACAGCTTTATAGGTGAATCAGTGACGAAAAGTGTCTTGAAACTCGTAACACACAATGTGGGAACATGTGCTTGGAATTATGAGAGATATCGTGGTAATTTTTTAAGTCTATTATGATCTGGAGATTGTTGATATCTGTTGAGCGCCGTCATGAGTGTCTTCGCGTGTGAGTGAGGTGTGAGGAAGGTGTATAGTTTAGATATGTGTAGATAGAGCCACGAAACCATCTAAATAATCTATACTACAGCATGCATAATGCGTAGAGAAAGTATTTTCCGATATCGAACATTGGAGCCATCTCATGAATTTAGATCTTCGTTATTTGAGTGGTTTAGTACTGAGTTAGATTATCGTTGTAATCATGACCACTGCTGAGCTACAAATTCGCAATTGACTTATGATTTGCACTTTTTTTCGTTTGCCCTATGTATGCAGGTTATTCGTTCTATGTGATTAATGAGATATTGGCCTAGATACGATCTATTGGTAATATGTGATGTGGGCAACTGTTTTTCGTGCACATACTTTTCTCTCAGGAGAGAAATATGAAATTGCTAGTGAAATCTCATCGATCAAAAGAACTCGTAGAGTTTTCGCTCAAATTTGATCGACACTGAGATGGGAGGGGGGCGAAAGGTGAAGTCGTACACCGGATTCCGCGCTTCCTCAGTATTTCATATACTCGGAATATATGGTCGGTATCACAGTCATGTCATGATGGAATGAATATGGTGCGGACTATTCTACTGTGGTTAATACTCTTTATCAACACTGATATCATGAAAGTGCATGGAATTGATCGGTATACGATATGAGTTGCTTTGTTGTTTGTGTGTGTGGTGTGTTAGGTGTGTTGGTGGAGACACTATTATTATGAATTCGTTGGAAATAGTTATCCATTTCATTCTTTGGTCGTCTTCATAAATAGTTTTCTGAATAGATCAATTTCTTCTTATTGCAAAACCTTGTCTAAGACACTGGGTTCCACTAATCGTGATTTGGACATGACTTGGTTTTATCAGGTTTTAGGTGGTGGTTGTAATCTCCGAGGTTCCTGTGATAGAGCTTATGTGATTCTTAAGGAATCTGAAGCAGCAGCACGTACAGTGGATATAGTGCGAATACTATTGTTTTATGCGCTGGATCCCATTGTTTTTTATGAGGGAGAGAAACCGCCTGGTAGAGAGATTCTAGAAACATCTGCAAGAAAGCTGCTTTCTGAGTTGCTTCAACTCAGCGAAAGGGCTGTTGACCCATCACTTCCAAAGCCTGCTGCCAAAGCTATTGAGAAGAAGAAAAATTATCCAAGTTTCATTGGTGATGAACTATCTCAAGATGTTGAAATGAAGAGAGGAGATTGGATGTGTCCCAAGTAAGTCACACCAAGTTATTGTGGTCATCTCTTACCTTGTATGACGTTATGACTTGGTCAGAGGAGGTTATCTCCTCAAGTTAGGAGGCTTTTTCCTTGTTTTGTGTTCTTTTTATTTTGCGACAGATGATTATAGTATCCATGTGTATGTGTGTGTGGTTTTACTGTGGTAACACTATATCAGCGACATATAGTCATATCCATTCCCCTTTCCTGTGAATTTTGTGAAATATCCACAGTTGGAGCTTGTATACTTTATTTCAGGAATGATTGTCATGCTTGGTATATTGATATTATAAAACTTAGTTACTGGAATTGTTTGCTGACTCTTCTAGTCAGTTGTACTGTTTTATTCACTTGCTGCAGTTAGTACCATACTAGTTTCATGGTTTGCTGTTGTTATCTTGTTGCAGGTGCAATTTTATGAACTTTGCTAAAAATTTAAGATGCCTACAATGTAAAGAAGATGGCCCAAGAAAAGCTGACACGGGTGATCTCGAAATCGAAATGAAAAAGGGAGACTGGATCTGCACTGAGTAAGCCACTTCTTTTGCATGAGTGCTTACCTTGTAATCAGTTTTTTTTTTCAGTGTGTTGCTGTTATCAGTTTTTTACCGAATTATGATTCTTCCCTAGGCTACCACCATATGCTTGTGTTCCGAGTTTGACATATCTTTACTGGTTGCGTTTTGTTACAGGTGCAGTTTCATGAACTTCTCTAGAAATATACGCTGCCTAAAGTGCAAAGCTGAAGGGCCAAAGAGCGTTGGTGTACATGCAGTTGAAATGAAGAAAGGAGACTGGACCTGCCCAAAGTAAGTCTTCTTTTTGTCCTGACAACCAACATAGTTCAGCAACTCTAAATTATTTAAACTGAGTGCGCTAATTGTTTCCCAAGTAAAGTTCTATTTGATCACTTAGCTTATGTTCTTCAGGTGTGCATTCATGAATTTTGCAAGCAATAGGAAGTGTTTGCGTTGTCAAGATCCACGGCCCAAGAAAAATCCTGCAGACTGGGACTGCCCCTCGTAAGCCTCTCTTCCTCTTTCTTTGTTTGTGTGTGTGTGGGGTGTGGTTTAGATTTAATATTAATGTTAACTGGATATTTACAAGATGATTTTGTATACTGCAGATGTGATTTCATGAATTATGGTAGAAACGCAGTTTGCCTGAAGTGCAACTGTAAACGCCCTCAAGAAGAAACTACTGAGTACGAGGAGCAGATGTGGAGGCGTCCACGCTAGTGTGTTGTTAATAGGAACAAAGGCATTGTTTTCAATGAAGATATGCGCGTAACATGCTTACGGTAAATGTTGATGTTATAAGTTATAACCACCCCCACATTACTATCTATATTTCTATATTTCTCCCTTAAACATGTTTAAGTCTATCAATTTAGTCCCTTATCTTAAGTAATCCTAGACTTTGATCTAGATTCCTCATTTCTCCTAAACTGCCAAGTGGCAGCTCCCTAGCTCTCTTCTCTTTTCTCTCTTCCCGAGTCCTCCCTCTCAGACATCTCTCTTTCTCTCTCAGAAACTCTCACTTTCTATCTAAAGCTCCGAGAAGAGATCACCCATTCCATTGACAAATCAAACTTACAAATTCATTTCTAAAACCCTTTCGACTTTAGGAACCCAACTAGGTCCCTGCATGCACCTTCGACTCACTGTGAGCAATTTCACCATTAGCACCGAGAGCTTCAAGCTCCAACTTTGAGTCTCAGGTGAGGTTCTTCCCTATTTTCTTTTAAATTTCTGGGTTTGCATGTTGGTTTTATGACTCCGTGTGAAAATCAAAGTTTGAACCTTGTGGTTTTTCTGTGTTCTAAACCCCAGAATCCGGCGATAAAATCCGTCGAAGCTCGTACACAAACCTAGCCATTCTCAACCACGGTTGAGACTCACGGTGGTATATTCTCGTTCCTATCACTTCAGCTGTGCTGTTCTCTTCATTTTGGTGTTTATTTGGAGCTTGGTTTACACGTTCATCATCGGCCGAAGCTGTAGCAGCTCCAGCGTTCTACCCCGACCACCCTGCAGGCCATCAGGCCAGTTCAAGCCACCCACGGGCCTTAGCCCGTATTTGGACCAGCCCAGCTTTCTTTTTTTTTTTGGTTATTTGGCCTACGGGCCATGCCTTGCATGGGCCGAGTGTGTGGGCTGAGTGTATGTGTGTTGTGTGTGTGTTATGCCATGCGTGTGTGTAGGTGTGTGCGTGTACTGTGTGTGTATGGTGTGTGTGTGTCCGTGTGAGTGTGTGTGTGTGTGTGTAAGCGTGTGTGAGTGTGTGTGGTGCACGTGTGTGTGTGTGTGTGTGTCCGTGTGAGTGTGTGTGTGTGTGTGGGGGGGGGGGGGAACCACCCTTTTTCACCCTAACCCTTTTTAACTAAAACCTTAGGACCCAAAACCCAAAATCTTTCCTAGGCCAACTTCGATGTTCTGAATCCGTTTTTGGCGTCCATTTCCTGGAATTCTATCGTTTGGGCATAGTTTGATAAATTGGACATTTTTGTGCTTAGGTGAAGTTGCTAGTGGGGATTTCCTTAATCCTTTTCCGCACAACTCTGCTACTACAGAGTATGTGTGAGTGGCCTCTTTCTAAAATTTGCATAATTTTATAGTTTACTTGCATAAATGAAATGCATGGCTTACGAGTTTATGAACTGATTTTATGTTAAGCATGTTTATTGAAATGTTGATTTTTGTCTCGTTATTTTGTAAGGAATTAATTGTTGGCCTATATTGAGCTATATTTTAATATATCGTATTTTCTATAAAAACCATGAACTGGTAGACTATCTGATGGATGACGATAGGATGCTAGAACATGTTTTCAAAACCCATTTTTATAGTATAGACGATGGATGGTTTTATACTATGAAGTCGTTATATTTGAGAGGCGTAATTATTTGTGCCTACCTAGTGGACACTATGCCACCTGGGGAGAGGATCTGGTGTTGGCAGTTAGGCCGGGAGAAATAATCCCTAACTACGGGCTGAGGGACACGGAGCAGGCATTGGGCCGGGAGTTGGAAATCTTTGGCTACGAGCAGAGACCACGGTGCTGGCATAGGGCCAGGAGGTATATTTATTCAGTGATCTTACTGGCAGCACACCGTGCTTACGAGACGATCTGTGAGACGATTGATGTTTTGATTTCCACGATGTTTTTCCGTGCTATGTCTTTTGAGATGTTTTTGGCATGCTAGGGTTTTCAGTAAAAGTTTTGGGAGAGACAGGTATAACATGGCTCACTGACCTTTTCAATAGGATTTTGAAAACGAAGAAGATGCCAAATGAGTGGCGAACGAGCACTTTGGTGCCTATCTACAAGAATAAGGGTGACGTACAAAATTGCATGAACTATAGGGGTATTAAGCTAATGAGTCATACAATGAAGCTCTGGGAGAGAGTCATTGAGCATAGATTGAGGCAAGAGACACGGGTTTCGGACAACCAATTCGGGTTCATGCCAGGGCGCTCAACCATGGAGGCAATCTATCTCTTACGAAAATTGATGGAAAGATATAGAGATGGGAAAAAGGATTTACACATGGTCTTTATAGATTTGGAAAAAGCGTATGATAGGGTCCCAAGAGACATTCTTTGGAGGATTTTAGAAAAGAAAGGAGTACGAGTAGCATATATCCAAGCTATAAAGGATATGTATGAAGGAGCAAAGACTGCCGTAAGAACTCATGAAGGACAAACCGAAAGCTTTCCCATAACTGTAGGATTACATCAAGGCTCATCCTTAAGTCCTTACCTTTTTGCGTTGGTAATGGATGAGTTAACAGGACATATTCAAGATGATATTCCTTGGTGTATGCTTTTCGCAGACGATATAGTGTTGATAGATGAAACTCAGGAAGGGGTAAATGCAAAGCTTAACCTTTGGAGAGAAGTGTTGGAATCTAAAGGTCTTCGCCTAAGCCGATCAAAGACAGAATATATGGAGTGCAAGTTCAGTGCAAATGGAGGCCAAAACGAGTTAGGGGTGAGGATCGGAGATCAAGAAATACCAAAGAGCGACCGTTTTCGTTACCTAGGATCTATCTTGCAAAAGAACGGAGAATTAGATGGAGATCTCAACCATAGAATACAAGCTGGATGGATGAAGTGGAAGAGTGCATCCGGCGTGTTGTGTGATCGCCGTATGCCACTGAAGCTCAAGGGAAAATTTTATAGGACGGCAATAAGGCCAACGATGCTGTATGGCACAGAATGTTGGGCGGTGAAGCATCAACACATACACAAAATGGGTGTAGCGGAGATGAGGATGCTTCGTTGGATGTGTGGGCACACGAGAAAGGATAAGATTAAGAATAAGGATATCCGGGGTAAAGTAGGAGTAGCCGAAATTGAAGGCAAGATGAGAGAAAATCGGTTACGGTGGTTTGGACATGTGCAACGAAGGCCTACTGACGCTCCGATTAGAAGATGCGACTATGAGACAGAGGTTCAGGGCCGAAGGGGTAGAGGAAGACCTATGAAAACTTTGGAATAGACTCTAAGAAAAGACTTAGAGTACTTGGATCTAACGAAGGACATGACACAGGATCGAACACAATGGCGTTCTAAGATTCATATAGCCGATCCCACTCAGTGACTTGGATTTTCCAAGTCTCCAATCGAGAAGTTTTCCTCACTCGGGAAATTAAGGGAACACTACCCCAACCTACATGCTCCACTCAGAAAGCTTCAACATACAAGCTTCAACAAAAGAAAATTCAAAGAACTTAGCGAAGAAGGTTTTGGTGTATTTAACACAATACGTTGAAATGAAGGAAAACTTATTTATTGATATCCCCGATAAGCTACAAATGTGTACATATACATGAGTCAAAATAAACAAACAAGAGGGAGCCTTCACAAGGGTTGCTTAGGAGAAGTCTCAGCAGTCGGTAGAGCCCCAGAAAAGAGAAGGCACCGGAGGGGGATCATTAGGAACCTCAGTACTGGACAGAACCCTAGAAGGAGGAGGAGGCATCAGAGGTTGATTATTTGGAGCTTCATTACGCGGTACAGCCCCAGAAGACGAAGGCAATAAATGCCTTTGGAACAAACCCACAAATCTCTGATGATCAAGTAAAACCTGACCATCAGTTTCCTTCATCTGGTCAAGCTTCCTCTTCATGTTTGTAGCATAGTCATGTGCGAGCCGGTGCAACTGTTTATTCTCATGCTTGAGCCCTCTAATCTCCTGTTTGAGACTCATCACCTCAGCCGCCAATGATTCAACTTGGCGGGTTCGAGCAAATAGGCGTTGGGCCATATTAGACACAGAACCTGCACACTGAACACTGAGAGCCAGCGAATCCTTAACAGCTAACTCATCAGACCGTTTGGAAAGTAGTCTGTTATCTTTGGGAGTGAGAAGGTTCCTGGCCACCACCGCAGCAGTCATATCATTCTTCATCACGGAATCCCCAACGGTAAGAGGACCAGTAGGGGAGACGAAGGGATGGGCGCCATATGTTGTCTGGAGAAGGCGGGGCTGCCTCTTCAACAAGGTTCAAGTCAAAACGACGGTCGGAGGGGACCAGACATTTTCAAAGGTGTTGAAGAGAGAAGAGGTTGGACAAATCAAGATCTTAGAAGTGCAAGAATGGAGCTTCTACTGGTGGAGATTCAAGTGTGCTTTGGAACTTAATGTCAGCCCCTATAAAAATCTGCACTCGACGGATCTTCAGAAATCGAAGAGGCGTTTGCTTTCTCAAAAGCTGGGCTGCTTAGAGACCACGAGGGTTGATCTCAGAAATCGAAGAGGCGTTTGCTTTCTCAAAAGTTAGGCTGCTCAAAGACCACGAAGGCCGATCTCAGAAATCGAAGAGGCGCTCGCTTTCTCAAAAGCTGGGCTCCTCAGAGACCACGAGGGCCGATCTCAGAAATCGAAGAGGCACCTACTTTTCCAGCCTTGTCAGCACCTGTCACACGCACACTCAGCTTTGCGGAAATTATGGGCATTCTGTCGAAGACTTCTGAGGAAGTAGAAAAACACATGAATCTTACTGTTCAATCACCCACTTCCCACACGCAACACTAGCTCATGGGTACCACAGATAACTTTGCCAAAGTTCTCTGCCAAAATTGAGCACGTAAAGCTTGCAGCTCCCACTACATCGCTCTGACCAAGAAAGGTAAAAGAATAGCAAAGAAACAGCACTAACAAAGTTTAGACCCATAAATTTTGAAGGTCTAGCTACCATAATATTACCCACAAGGGTAAAGGAACAGTACCACTGCTGGATAATTGGAAAGTCCCTGTGTGTCAACCTCTGTGCTTCGTGGCAAGGTAGACTAGTAAACATGCCCAACCTTTACTCACACTCGAGAAAACACTACCAATAAGATTGCTTGCTCCAAAATCGAAGAGGCACCGTCCTCCGAATCTCGAGAGCCAGACTCCCAACATGACTACTTTCTCAAAAATCGAAGAGAGGGTAAAGGAACAGTACCATTGCTGGATAATTGGAAAAATCCCTGTGTGTCAACCTCTGTGCTTCGTGGCAAGGTAGACTAGCAAAAACATGCCCAACCTTTACTCACATTCGAGAAAACACTCCCAACAAGATTGCTTGCTCCAAAATCGAAGAGGCACCGCCCTCCGAATCTCGAGAGCCGAGACTCCCAACATGATTACTTTCTCAAAAATCGAAGTGACACTGCTCCCCGAATCTCGAGAGCCAGACCCCCATCATGATTGCTTTCTTAAAAATCGAAGATGCATCGTTCTCCGAATCAATCGAAGAGACGCTCGCTTTCTCAAAAGCTGGGCTGCTCAGAGACCACGAGGGCCGATCTCAGAAATCGAAGAGGCACCTACTTTTCTAGCCTTGTCAGCACCTGTCACACGCACACTCAGCTTTGCGGAAATTATGGGCATTCTGTCGAAGACTTCTCGAGAGCACAAGACCACTTTTTCAAAGTGCTCTGACAGAGTTAAAACATGTGAAGCTGGCAGCTCCCACTACCGTGCTATGACCAAGCAGGGTAAAGGAATAGCATTACTACTTGTTGTTAGGGAGACTCCTATATATGTCGACCTCCATCCCCAACGGACAGGCAGACCTGCAAAAATGTTCAACCCTTCCTCATATTTGAGAGGGCACTCCCAACGAAGCCTTTCGAAATATTCAGCTTTTTTTCCCCCCGATAATACCTTTGCAAACAAGCTATACTAGAGCAAGAATATCTCATATCATCAGGGTTAAAAGCAAGAGTATCCCATATCATGCTTTTTCCCTGTCTTTTCCTTTGGCCTTGTTGTTACCTGCAAGACAAGGAGGAAAGAGAGCAATCAGTCAGCACTTGGAATCAAGCTTCCAGCCAGGAACTGACTGTCTGGAACCCCTTACCTGATTACTTACCTGGCATTGCTCTCGAGTACTCATCTTCAACATCTTATGTTTCCAGGGAAGATACCGCATCTGCTTGAGGAACAGATAGGGCAAGTGCGAAGGATACAAGGAAGCATGTGGAGACAAGCGTAACAGCACACGTGCCGATACATCCATTACTCTGTCAAAAGCAAAAGTATCCCATATCAGCAGGGTCGAACGTACTCTAGATTTGATGATAGACTTGTTTTGACCCTCAAATTCTTCAGTCGGCTCTGGAGGAAACCAGAAAACCCTCCAGCTCAGTTCAAGAATAAGCCTTGTGGAAAGTTACTTCTTCAAAAAGCAAAAGTATCCCATATCATCTCTTCTCATCTTTCTTCTCTTTATCCTTCATGCTGCTGCAAGATGGGGAGAAGGTGAACAATCAGCCGGAGCTCTGATTGCTTACCTTGTCTGTCACCTCTTTCAGCAGATCCCCTAGCTCGGCGACTTGGGAGACTCCTACTACATGGTTTGTATCGCGCTTGACCAAGCCTGAAACTACAAGTAAGCTTCAAGTGAAATTGATACATTACCTTGTGCATCTCCACCAGTTAAAGATACCACCCCTGGATGGAGGAAGAGTACTTCCAGAGAAGATGCCTACATCTACCTATGAGACAGATAAGGCAAGTCAAGACGATACCACACTCCGATACTTAGAAGTTTCGTGATTACGAGATCATTCTCTCACAATATTTCCTAATGTCATTTGTACTAAATCATTCACTTGTACTCACTAAATGAGAGCTTGAACCTATGTACTTGTGTAAACCCTTCACAATTAATGAGAACTCTTCTATTCCGTGGACGTAGCCAATCTGGGTGAACCACGTACATCTTGTGTTTGCTTTCCTATCTCTATTCCATTTATATACTTATCCACACTAATGACCGGAGCAATCTAGCGAAGATCACAAAAAGCGACCGTTTTTGCTGCCTAGGATCTATCTTGCAAGAGAACGGAGAATTAGATGGAGATCTCAACCATAGAATACGACCTGGACGGATGAAGTGTAAGAGTGCATCCGGCGTGTTATGTGACCGTCGTAGGCCACTGAAGCTCAAGGGAAAATTTTTATAGGACGACAATAAGGCCAACGATGTTGTATGGCACAGAATGTTGGACGGTGAAGCATCAACACGTACACAAAATGGGTGTAGCGGAGATGAGGATGCTTCGTGGGATGTGTGGGCACACGAGAAAGGATAAGATTGGGCATGAGGATATCCGAGGTAAAGTAGGAGTAGCCGAAATTGAAGGAAAGATGAGAGAAAATCGGTTCCGGTGATTTGGACATGGGCAAAGAAGGCCGACTGACGCTCCGGTTCGAAGATGTGACTACGGGACAGAGGTTCAGGGCCGAAGGGGTAGAGGAAGACCTAGGAAAACTTTAGAAGAGACTCTAAGAAAAGACTTAGAGTACTTGGATCGAACGGAGGACATGACACAAAACCGAGCGCAATGGCGTTCTAGGATTCATATAGCCGACCCCACTTAGTGGGAAAAGGCTTTGTTGTTGTTGTTGTTGTATATATGAATTTGGTCCACTCACCTTTGTTTTGCGCCCCCATTCAGGTTTTGGTCTTAGAAACGAGGACTACGACACAACATACGAGGCATTCCCCTCCCAGTAGCAGTCTATCATTCACTTATGTGATATCTTGTAATGATCTTTCCTTTTGTGATCTTGAATTAGAACGTATTCTGTGCACTCTAGACATTTCCTTAAACTTTGTTTATTACCTTTAGATTCTAATGATTATTCATGTTCATTTTCTCCTAATCATTACTCTTGTATTCAATAAATGACTTTCGTCACCTTCGGTGTCGGCCAACATGTGCCTATCCGGATATTCAGAGAATATCGGGGTCGGGACGTGTCAGTTGAGCACCCCGTAACATATCAGGCTAGTGACTACATACATGGCAGAGTGGTTCTAATGAACTGTCTGCGGTTTTAGCTTATACACTGCCAAGGACAGGAACCATTTGTGACCAATGATCTTATAGTTTCTATGGGAAGGTGTTCTGTTTAAGGTTTTCAACTCTCATTAGATGAAAAAACAACAGTTTCTGGCTTCTTGTGTTATTTTTTCTTATCCCCGGAAAGACTCCCATGTCCGGAAACCCAGAAAAGGAGAGCAAGCGGTGAATCGCGACCAGATACTCTTGGTAACGAAGGAAGGTGAAGGCTAATAGGAGGGAGTCATCAAGCAGCAATTCGGAGAAGTAATCCTCGACGAGCTCTTCGACTTGTATCGTAAGAAACTTGAAGAACAACCCTTCATCTTTGACATGCTATTGTTTTGGTATTTGAATTGATTAATTTAGCAAGAGTTGGTCTACAATTTATGCTTTGACAAGTCAAGTAATAACACGCATGGGACGATGACATGTCGACATATAACAAAATAATGACTACATTTTGTTTGGCGTTGGGTAAATATAACCACATAATGTCTACATTTTTCTCTTTTGACTTAGCATGATGAGTCGCTGATGACATGCTGCAACTCGCTCTATTAGGTGGTTTCTTGATATTTAGATATCATTTGATTTAGCAGCACTCAGTTTTTACTTTGTAAAGTAAATTTGAGTTCAAATTTGATGAACAGTAGTTGTTTGTAATAAAATAATATTAATTTACGTGTTCTTGTTAAAAGATGTGATAAGGAGACAGAGGATCAAGACAAAATGAATAGAGGAAGACCTAGGAAAGCTTGAAATAGACTCTTAAGAAAATAAATCAAGTACTTAGAGCTAACAAGAGACTTAGCATAAACTGAACACAAAGACGTTCTAAAATTTAAACGGTCAATCCCACTTGCTACGGCTACAAATTAAATATATTTTTTGCAGCTCCATGATCGTCATTTTACTCCATTAGTGGCAGCTCCATGATCGTCATTTTACTCCATTAGTGGCTCCATTTGCATTAAAAAACTAATTAATTCACACCTACCACAAATATTTCGTATTTCGAAAGGAATAAATATCAGTGGCCACCTCAAAGGAAGAGGATCGATTAATCCAAACATAAAACCAGAGAGAGAGAGAGAGAGAGAGAGAGAGAGAGAGAGAGAGAGAGAGAGAGAGAGAGAGAGAGAGAGGGTTTAGGATGGCAAAATCGGTGGCATTTACAATGAACGGTGGAGACAGCCTCTACAGTTACAGCAAAAACTCAACTTTTCAGGTGTGTTGTCACTCTCAATTATATAGAGCACAACGTTATCTCACGATTTTTTTTTACGGCCTGTTTAAACACTCTCGGTACTATTTGGGAGCGTTTGTTTGCCCTCACTAAGTATCATTGAACTGGCTAAGATTAACAGTGAGTGAAATCCCATGTTTGTTAGCAGTCGGGATGGTGTTTAATGAGACTAAGGGGGACTCGCCTAGACTAAACGCCTCACTAGGCGGTCTTAACGAGACCCCCCAAAATTGGGCGGATTGCTAAGACCAGCTCTCCTTCACCCCTTTCCGCTTCACTCTTCGTCAGTTCTTTGCTTTCCCCCTCCCAACTGCTATTTTTCTCCCGTAAGACTCATCTTCTAGCGAAGGCACCATGGATCTGTGGTCAGAAAATCTTTCTCTGAGAAACCCATTACGTGGATTTCTGAAGCTTTTCCCTTTTCAATATCATATCCAACTCCCAAAATTTCAACTGAGAAAACTGAAAAACCCAAAAAATCAGAGACCCAGAAAACCCAAAAAAGCCAAAAACCCAGAAAACTCAAAAACCGAAAGCAGATTCAACCCCATCTCTCACCTTCATTCAACCCCATCTCTCACCTTTGATTTTAATATTTGCAAGGGATTTTGTGAGAGGAATAGAATAGGCAAAGAGAGATTTGTAGTGACGAGGAAGAGAGAGATTTGCAAAATACTTTGGATGAAACATTAATTAGGTTTCTAAAAGTTAAATAGCTACAAAATAATATTTTATAACCAGAATATTTGTTTGTTTTTCGTTTTGAAGGCAAAATTAAATTAAAAAAATGATAAAAAACTAACTTGGATTCAAAAAATTATTTAGTCTATAGAGTAGTTCACTGTACTAAACGTTTTACTAAGCTAATCCAGTTTAGTCTAGTTTAAGCCAGTCCAACTTAATCCCTGAAGCTAATCCAGTCCGAGACAGTTCGGTGCAACAAACGCACCCTTTATTTTTAACGAAAAACCACATTTTTACCGTTCCATGATCCTATTCACTACACCTTTATCTCAGGTGCTTCTCCTGGAAAGTGATTCCGGTTGTCTAGGTTCTTCTCTCTCAAGAATTTTTAAGCCAAAGCTTCTCTTTTGTGCAGAGAAAAGCCATAGATGCTGCTAAGGAACTGATCAACGAAGCAGTTTTCGAACGTCTTGACACCGAAAGCTTCTCGTCTTCCGCATTTCGAGTTACGGATTTAGGCTGCTCTGTCGGGCCTAACACTTTCTTGGCGGTGCAAAATATAGTTGATGCTCTGGAGCAAAAGTACCAAAGCCAAGGACACAATTCTCAGCTCCTTGAGTTGCAAGTTTTCTTCAACGATCACGCCTCCAACGATTTCAACGAGCTCTTCCGATCTCTGCCTGCAGACAGGCGATACTACGCCACAGGCGTGCCGGGTTCTTTTCATTCTCGCTTGTTCCCCAGGGACTTTCTTCACTTTGTTTACTCTTCGTATGCTCTCCAGTGTCTTTCTAAAGTGCCAGAAGCAGTGGCGGACATCAACTCGCCTGCTTGGAACAAGGGGAGGATTTATTACTCGAATTCGGAAGACCAAGTCGTTAAGGCCTATGAAGCTCAGTATGCCAAGGACATGGGGTGCTTGCTAAATGCCAGAGCACAAGAGATTGTGTGTGGAGGGTTGATGGCATTTGTCGTCCCAGGCCGCCCCAATGGAGTCCCTCATACACAAGTTTTGGGCAACAAGGTGGTAGAACTCATCGGATCCTGCCTCATGGACATGGCCAACAAGGTAAAAAAATTTCAGCTTCATAGATTTGCATCCCAGAGCACTAACTAAATGTAGAGGTACATGTTTTCACCAACTGTTTAGTCAACTGTTAACTAGTGACATGACAGAGCAAGAACCACCCCCAAACCCCAAGGCCATTTTTGGGAGTGGGTCTTAGGCTGTCACGTCAACAGTTAATGGTTAACCTTAACCTGATAGTCAACCTAACAGAAGGTGTCAAATGTCAAAATGGTGGGGTTCAATCCGAAAAAATTGGAACCTCAAGGATGCAATTTGAAACTGACTACAAACCTCGACGGTTCAAGCTGTGATCGTATGGTGTAAATAAGATAAATATACGCTGCATAAGCTGGTATAACTGAGAACCTGTTTTATTTTCCTGAGTAGGGTGTCATCTCTGAAGAGAAACTGGACTCCTTCAATATACCGCTGTATATGGCTTCGCTCGATGAAGTGGAAGCGATTGTGAAAGCTAATGGATGTTTCAGCATAGAAAGAATGGAAAACTTGACTCAGGAACAACCACAGGCCAACGTAATTGCATCTACTTTGAGATCCGGAATGGAGGGAATGTTTCGGGAGCATTTTGGAGACGAGATTCTGGATGAGTTTTTTGATTCGCTTCGCAAGAAACTCGAAGAATCCTCCTCCGTCCTCAAACCGCTGACATCAATTAGCTTGTTTGTTTTGCTCAAACGCACAGGAAACTGATTGCAACAGAGCAGCTTTCTCTACTTGATCAGTGGAACTTGTGATTTGAAGATTTGAAGCTTCTCAGTAGCTTGACAATGTAAAATATTAAGTACCACATGTGTTTTAATCCCTGTGTGAAATATGAATAATGTTTCCCCTGTTTCGTTGCTTCTTTGAAGTGCTTTTATTTTAAATAAGTTGAAATCCTATGATGCTTCTTGAAAAAAAAAGCGTTTTGTATGAGCCAAGAAGGCTTCTAAGTTTTTTATGCCAAACAAAGTTAGAAAGATCTTACCTTTACAAAAAATGACAAGTCTTTTCTATAAGGCTTTCGCCTCTACTTTCGTTTCTTACTTCAATATAAAAAGGGCTTTTCAGTGGCACCTAGCCGAACAAAATAGGATTATCAGGACATAACCAGTTCGGTAAAATCTGACCGAAATACTTGAGATAGTATGGCTAATGATCCCGAAGACAAGACAATCATTTATTTATAAAGAAAACTAATGAAAATGACTTGAAAACTTTAAGTTTTAACAATAAGAACTAAATAAAGAAAAAGTAAATAATACCATGATTAACCTTTTAGTGTAAAAATATAATTTTTCGTTAAAATAAAATCACGAGCTTTTTATCGTGCTTTTCGTTAAATTCCTGATTTATATATTAAAAACCTCCCTTTTCCCTCCATAGAAACCCTAGAAGCAGCAGAAGCTCTCTACACTCTACTCGCTCTCTAGGCTAACCGAAATACTCACACAGAGATGCCGCGTGGTGGTGGTAACTACTATAACTTCACGAAGATCAGGGACGCCATTGATTCCGTCGGCGCCAAGGTCAACGTTATCGGCGTCGTCCTCGAGTGCGGCTTCCCCCGCCGATCCAGAGGCACCGGTAAATCTTCTTCCTTCAGTCAAATTTATCAAATTTATGTAATGTGCTTGCAACTATATAGGTATATATGTGTAGATTATGTATGTATGTCATATGTTTATATGTCTTATATGTGTGTGTGTGTGTGTGTATTTGTGGTGGCGATGATGAAACAAAGGCCGGACTTACGGCTGCTTCCGGCAAGGTCGGTAGTAGATTGATGAGACTCTTAACGAAAAGGTGTTGTTTGCTGAGCCGCCTGTTACCTTTGTTCCATTTCTCTGGGTCTTTAAAATATTTGTGTTTTTTTTTTGTTAAATTAATTATTTTTTGTTCTGCTTTTGGATGCAAAGTTTTCTTCTTTCTGTTTGTTATGTGTGTATTGGTGTGTATCTTTTGCAGATTGGTTTGTTTCGGTGCGTATAATCGACGAGACGCATCAGGATCCCGGGTTGTCAGTTAACATTTTTACAGATAGGAATGAATGTCCTCGCATTTTGTCTGTTGGAGACATAATTCAGTTCCAACGCCTCATGGTATATCTTGAGCTTAACCTCATTTAGTTTTCTTTCCGGGGGATTCTTCAATTGCTGATTTCTCAAGCAAATGTTGCCACTTTCCTTTTCCCTATGAAATCACGTTTTCTCTGTTATCGTAATGTTACCTATTATCTGTTATAAAAACAGATAATGTTTTGGACCATCATTTACTCCATTTTGTCAGAGGCATGAAACGTTCTGTTCAAATCAAGGGCTCCTCTGGCCTTGACAGACTTTACATTACGAAGTATGATTGTATTTGACTTGGGCATGCTACCTTGTGCAGATCAAACGTCATGTAGATAAAATAAATGCTGTTTTTTCCAAGAAGTTCTCTACCTTTGCTATTTATTACGGAAGTGATGCTAGAAGTTTAAGTCCTTATCATGCTTCCAAATCATTTCGCGAGAGGGACCATGACAAGAACTTTTTGATAGACTTGAGAAGATGGTTGAAGAATTTCCATTTTCACGAAGGTATACTTAAAAGTACTTTGTTTCAGATAGCGACACAACGGCATTTAATTATGTATAAGTTTAACTCGTTCACAGTATATATTACAATGTTGTGGTTATTGATGAAAGACTATGGATATTTCTTATGTGCTGCATGAATTATGGTTGTGAAAATGGTAGTTGACAATAGTTCTACCTGGATTAGGTTTTTGTAAAGATAGCTTGCTCACGAGTATGTTTTCCTGAAGTGGCATTATTTGAGCAAAGAGGTTCATGTTTTTGCTCTGGTTTTTGAGGCAGAAGTACATAGTAATCCTAAGTCCTTTTCACATATCCGCTTGCATGGTTTGTGAAGAGGAAGCACCATACTGTTATGATTCTAGAGATGCTGCCAAATACTTTGTCCAAATTATTGGACTCCCTGGATGATAGATTTGTAGCAACTTTCTGACCTAATTGTATATATGAGAAAAGATAGGAACTTTCTTTTGCTTGGTAGATAGAGGTATATCATAAGCCTGCGTTATTTATTTTTTCATCTTATCTTACTAGAAATGTATATGGTTTGTAGGTGCAAATTATTTCTCATCCATCAGAGAAATGAAAGGAGGTGAAGATTTTCATTTGGTTTGTAAAGTAAGTAAAACATTTTTGTTAAATTTGTGTGCACTGGTTAAATGAATACAGCAGATTTCTTTTTCTTGTAAAGGACAATCAGCTGTACCAAGAATGGGATTATGCCATATACTGAGTACAACATAAATTTTTTTCCTTGCGTTCTATCTCAAGATAATTCATATCCACGAGGGTGCTGGAAATGAATGGATGGCCTTTGTTTGGGATGGAACCGATGCTCCACCAGCTAATATTCTTCAAAAGTGAGTTGATAGCTGTTAATGTTTATTTTTTCTTATATAACATCATAAAGTTATGCAGTACTTTGCAATTGCACCCCGTCTTGTCAGACAAAACCAAAATGAGTCCTTTCCTTTTTCTTCAAAAATAAGAAGGGGGTTATTTTCCTTTCATTGAATTAGGTTGAGGTTATATAAAGTGATTGATTCTTTCAACATACTTCCCACGATATTCTGTTCTCGATTTTTTGTTGGTGTTTTTTCTCATGGAGAATAGTGAACTTCCTAAATTGCTACCCATGTAATGGTTTATGACATTAGCGCATCACCTTACTGGACCGTGCCTATATGCATATGTTTGTTAGTTGTGAAAGCTAATTTAGTTTTATCTATATGGTAACTGTATTGTATATTTAAATGAGAAATATTAAATACCGCTAAATATGAACCACAGGTTAGAAGATGAAACGAAGCACCCACTTCCCCTACATCTAGAACCATTTCCTTTGCCACACGATACCTTATGCAGCTTTCCTGCAGTTGGAACTGTCTTAAGAGTGATATCTCAGGACCTTGAGAATGACAACCTTCGCCTGCTAAAAACTGGGGAGTGGGTGAAGCTTGTAAATTTGCTATGTGAGGTGCATGCAGGATTATGGCGTTGCGTTTTGACACCCTTTACGAAGCTTCGATATACACCAAAAGAGGACCGTCTCAAACTTGAGCGGAAAAGGTTGTAACTTTTGGAAAGCATTTAATCATCATGCATTGCATCATTATGTTGCATAACTCGCTAAAACTCTAATGCGATATCCCTTTGCATATCTTGTTATGGATCAGGTTATTTAATGAACGATTAGCCCAAAGTCCAGAAAATTTAATGCAGATGCCATTTGGGGGCTTTCCGTCACCTCAAGTCACAGGTGCTGCATTGTTTTTCTTTTCTTGTGATGAGTTAGTCTTTGATTTCTCATTCATTCTCTTCTCTTTCAACTCCTGGAAATCGTTTCCTCTCTTTTGAAATTCTCTTATGATTGTTTTTTTTTCCCTCAGAGGTTGATGATAGTGACGACGACCATGCAATATTTCTTACCTTAATGGATGTTGTCGCAAGTTCAGAGGTATCCTACCTGTTTCACGCAGCTCTTGATTTATGCCTCTGCTTTCTTGTTCAGATGCCTATTTATGCTTCTTTTTTTCTTTTTTTTTTCAGTGTTTTATAGATGTTTATTGACTGTATGTTTTCCATACTGTGTAGCTTCCAGCTAGATTCAAGTGTGTAGTTCGAGTCATAGCAGCTTCCCCGTGGCAGGCTGCGGACTTCCTCTTTCCTGCTGGGATTGACAGAATTAGGCTGACCCTGGAGGACTCGACCGCTAGAATTCATGCTTTTTTGTGTGCAGAAGATGGGGTAAGAATTCGATTTCATCAGTAACTTGTATTCGGACAGACTGTAATCCATCTTTTTGCCACGATATTTTCTTGGGAACTTTAACGAAAAGCTGCCGGTGTTGTTCACTTTAATGAAAAATCATATTTTTACACCAAAAAGTCAATCTTGATACTATTCACTTTACTCTTTATTTTGTCTTTATCGTTAAAACTCAAAGTTTTCAAACCTTTTTCATTAGTTTTCCTTATTTTCTTCTACTGATCATCGTTTTCATTTATGATACAGGTGAAGTTTTTCGATGGCGAGTCCTCCGTCGAGGCATTGGAGGTCAAACGCAATTCGTTGTTAGGAGTGAGAGTAAACAACGATGGGGTGCAAGACGACCCTCGTAGAAATCCCCCTTGGGTACAAGTTTGGCTAAAATCTGAAACTGACCAACAAGGAAATCTACACTACCGGATTTTCGGCACCAAAGTGGTGGTGACCTGAATCGCTAAACCGCTCTCATAGTTGGAGACGCATGCTGGAAGCAGCTTTTGGGAACTTTTGTATATTCTGTCAAGCAGCTTTTGTATATGATGCAGCTCGGTGTATGTTTTCGTGTATATTAATATATCACCGCACATTTCACAGTTCAAGAACAATCAGATTTTCAGTGCAAACATTCAGCTAAGTGGACGAATGCAATCTAATGAGGTTAAACATGGTTTCGAACATGTAAGGCAAACGCATCTTCCATTCCTACGTGCTCAAATCTCTATATGGTACAATTTTGTCACAAAACATCGAAAGCTTATCGCCAAATCAATTTACCGAGCATTACATACCTGTACATTGTATTCTAAACGTAAAGATTTGTTCATAAACGATGGAAGAGCCGTGTCGCTCTTGGAAGACTACCGTTGCCAACTGAACTACATGGGTGCAGGTGCAACATGCTCATTCGGGTGGTGCTGTGCGGCAATCACATCGGGGGCAGCAACAGCATGCCTGCGTTGTCGCTCACGTAGATATAGGACAGTAAGAAGACAAACAAAAAGAGTCAATATTGTCGCGTTTCCTTCTTCAAGTAGCACGGTATCAATCCATTCTTCAACTTTGGGATAGACTTCAGGCAATGAATCGATTATATGTACCTACATACGGACCCAAAACGAGAAATAACACAAATGAATGAAGATTCTGAAAATGAAAAAACCCGGAGACAAAGCTTTATAATCCAAACATTTTGAAATAACTCCAATTTGGTGTTGGATAGCAGAGATTGACTATTTCAGTGTTTAGACTTAATTCATATGAAATAACATAACGATTTCAAACATTTTAAAGAATTTTTTTTGTAGGAGTACGATTTATGAATCTGAAAAGTTTTCCCCGTTTTTAGAAAAAATTAGAACTGGCAGATAGCAGTATAAATGGCACTAAAAAGAACCTAGGTCCAAGCCATAACAAAAATGTCTGCACCTTCAGAATCTTAAAATTATTCGACCGAAAATTGCAAGATAGCACTGATTAGTGATTGACCACAACTATTACATGAGAAGGCAGTAAGGAAAGTAAAACAAAAAGAACTTACCAGGAAACCGTCGGCATAATTTTTTCGTATCCATAAGCTTGCGAGGGCTAGCGTGACGGGCAACTTTGCTGCGGAATCAATCTCTAGGGCTTGATCATAGTAACGCTTTGCAAGATGAAGATCCAAAGGCAACCCTTGTCCATGCTCATGCATGTAACCAAGGTTAAACATGGCTTGGGCATTAGCCTGGGACCTGGCATGCTTGTAAGCCTCTGCCGCTCGTTCATAATCCCTCTCAGTACCCTGATAAAGAAAGAAGGAAAAAAAATAGTCAAGGTGAGATCAAGCTGCATTACTCAAAAGATACATCCCGAAGCTAGAGCAGTAACAAACATGTTTCAGCATGAGATACCTACCTGACCATAGTAATACGCATCCCCAATCAGCAAAGCAGCGTGTTCATTACCCTGCTCGGATGCTTGCCACCATAATGAATGTGCCCGCTGATGCCTTTCTGCATCAGTGCACAAACCGGATTCTCCTATGCACACGCTTTGCTCCCCATATTTGTCAAGAATCCATGCAGCGTTACTCTGTGCTACCTCATAGCCTAACTCGGCCATCCTTGAATACAAGAAAAATGCCTTGCCCACGTCCCCTTTCAAGTACGATTCAAGTGCCCATCGGGACAAGGAACTCCATGGTCCCCTTTCTGCAACTAATTTGTATAATGCAGTGGCCTAAAACAAATTGAACCTTAATCAGGAATCGGAACTAATTAGTGCATATGTGCACTGGTGCATCTTAAGATCATTTACTTAGAATTAAATAGCAACTTAACTTTTTTCATTTCAACAAATACAAACCAATTAATCGTCACAAAATCTAGATTATCTTGCATATTCTGTTATCTTAATGCCAAACAGAAAAGTGAGACGGTATGCAAACTAAACAAACAGAAAAGACAGCGAGTTTACCCGTGGAAGATTTTTCTTAAGCCCAACTCCAGTATGAAACATCTTCCCTAGCTGGTAGAATGCCTTAGGTTGACCAGCATTAGCAGCATATATAAAGTATTGACATGCAAGTTTAACATCTCTCTTTACCCCAATTCCTTTGAGATACATTACTCCTAGGTTATAGTGACCGCCACTGTCTTGATTATCAGCAGCCTTTTCAAAATACTCCTTTGCCTGCAACGAAAAGGAGTCGTTTTAACATAAGAATCCACCTATCAACGTATCAGAACGAACCCAACATTGGAAAAATGGTCTCGAAAGTTATTACAACCAACAATGTGGGATTTCATTCGCAGGGATCACTATCGAAAATGTGTGCAAAATATAGAAACACATAAAGCTTTAAGATACACACAGAGATAGAACCAAGGAGCATTCTTACTTTAGTGTAGTTCTTCTTCTCCACTCCATATCCTTTAACATACAAATACCCCATTCCGTTGTAGGCCGAAAAATGATCCTGTTTGGCTGCGAGTGTAAGCCACTCCAGAGCCTTGGTGTAATTCCTCTCAACACCGGCTCCTCTAGCATAAATCTCTCCGAGGAGCTCCATAGCCCGAGGCTCTCCCTTCTCCAAAGCCTTCAGAAACCACGACAATGCCTTGGCATGGTCGCGGCGCAACCCTCTCAGCCCGAAATAGTAAAACAGGCCGACCTTATACATTGCCGCGGAGTTTCCCTTCTGAGCTTGGTACTCCAAAATCTGAAAGTCCTCGTCTTCTTCGCCGCGGCTCTTCCTCAACGCATCCTTGTTCTCCTCCGCTCCGCTGTGGATCCTCACCGCCTCGATCACCGGCGAGTCCCTCGAAATCAGGAAGCTATTCACAGCTGCATCGGCCAATTCCGAGTACAATTTCACCGCTTTATCAAACATCTGCAAAACCAAACAAAAATCCGAACAGAAAACAACAAAATTAATCATCCAATTTCATCCTCTTAACTCCGCAACCAAACAGAGATCGATCGATCAAATTCGAAAGAGATTCCGTACATCTTGCCTGAAGTAAGTATACGCGAGGGCCATCTTCGACTGCATGTTGCCGCCCTCGGCGGCGAAGTAATGGTACGTGAAAGCCTTGGCCTTGTTCTGCTTTCTCATCTGCCCCGTACCGTACAGAAACCCCACCACGGACCGCGCGTGGGGGACGCCGCGAGAAGCCGAGTCCTCGATCTCCGAAACGGCCTCGTCCACGAGGGCAGTGTCTCCGGAGCTGATGGACTTGATTAATTTGGAGACGGTGGAGTAGTATCCGTCGTCGGGGTGGGTGGCCGGGTCGGGCTTGAAGGGGTCGGGTTCGAAGATTGGGCGCCAGGAGCCCGGGTCGAGCTCCTCCTCGGACTGCGCGGCGGCGGATTCGCCGAACTCGTCCCAGTCGGGGGAGTCATTTGGAGCTGAGTCGGCGGCGGGCGGCGAGTCATCGGGCGAGGCGGGGGTGTTTAGGAGGTCGTCTTTTGTCAGGACGAGGATGAAGGGACGGGCGGAGAGAGAGAGGGGGTAGAGAGAGAAAATCAGGAGAGAGAAGAGGAGCCTTCGAGCTGCAAAAGTCATTGCTGTTGCCAAATGCTAACAGACACCTGGAGACGATGAAGAAGAAGAAGACGATTAGGAATTTTTGCCGAGAGCGGAAGGGTATTATTGGGATAAAACGAAAGTTAGTTTTGTATACTTGCCACGTAGCATTTTGTCACTTGGCGAATCATATTCTGCCACGTACCATATTGCCGACTTTGGCCAATCATATTCTGCCACCTAATCCGACATACAATTGTGTCACGTGCATTGGATGTAGACGAGTATTAGCGGGTCTGTAATCTCGCCCCGCCATAGCAGGTAGCAGCTGACTTGCAGAGAGCTCCGCCCGCCACCAGCTCTACGGCGTCGTTTACAATGTCGATAGAGCTCAAGCTTTCTCGGATCAATCGTGTCTATCGCCCTACTGTAACTTCTCTCTCTTCTGTAACTGCTCTCTCTCTCTACTGTACCTGCTTTCTCTCTCCTCAGCAACTCCTCTCTCTCTCATCTGTAATTTCAGGAACTTATTGAGGGTAAAATCGTAGTAAAGTCGTCTTCTTCAATCTCCCACTACGGAATTCGCCTCGCCGTCAACGGATCCGTCAACATGCAGGTTCCAATTTTTGCCTCCGCTTAGTTTCCGATCAAATTAATGGAAAATTAAAAAGTTAAAAAAAAAACATTTTTTATAGGTTCGTGGAGGATCTGCAGGAGTTATCGAGTCTTTGGTTGGTGTTGCCAAGCCTATTTCCATTGTGTGAGTCAAGATTTGATTTTGTTCTTTTCGAAATTTTTCGGAATTTTTTTGCCCACTGAATCATTGTAATTGGCGTATAATGTATGGAGACTTGAAGCTAACGGAAGACTTGGTGCAAAACCGAGGCTGGTGGCGTTCTAGGATTCATACAGCCGACTCCACTTAGTTGGATGAGGCGATTGTTGCTTTAAAATTACAAAAATTGGTTTATTTTCTGAGCTAGGCATGTTTTAATTGTACAGTTTGAGGTACATTGTTGAAATTTTGATGAAAATAATCCTATGTTGTTTCAAATTATGTAGAGATTTCCGTAGATTGAACTCGAATTTTGATTCTTTTGGAAGCATTTGTCTGCTTTGGCTCGGATGAAGCTTTCTGTGTTCTGCAACTGATTTGGTTTTCTTTCTCTTCGAAGCAGGAATAAAATTATTGAGGTTAGACCTTCTGGGAAGATTGCTTCTGGCACATCAGAGGTATCTGTGAAAGCAATTCAATTTAACTGTGCTTTTGAATTCCGAACAATGTCTCAACTTTGAAACTCTGTCATATTTCAAATAAGAATGGTACCGCGAGTGAAAAGTTATCGTCCTCAAAACTCAAAGATTCTAACCGTGTACAAGTCTTTTGTGATTGCCAAATGTTGCAAGATTTGCAGATGCACCTGTAGAGGACTAGATTTCGTGATTTGAAACTGTCCGTGTGCTGGATAAGCGTTTTATGATCCCTTATTCGTGAACAGTTTTATTTTTAAGTGCTTAATGCTTACTTATGTGTCTTTTATCTGTCTCCTTTCTCTTTTTTGGTAGTACTTTCGGTCTTGACTCAGTTGCCCCCTTTCTTTCTGTTTTAGTACAAGTAAATTTGTCTGCCATCAATCCTTTCACATTTCGAGTTACTGTAAAAATCCTGATGTGCATTCAAAGATACTTTAATCTTCGTAAAGCTTGTATATTTTCTTTTTTATTAGTTGTATGCAAATTCTTGTTTTGTCATTTGCAAATTACATTCATATTTGTGGCAGATTCCATTTTCCATTAATATCAAGCAGCCGGGAGAAAAGAACCTGGAAAAGTTCTACGAGACCTTCCATGGAGGAAATATTAACATTCAGGTGCTGTTTTCTATGGTCTTTTCTTTTCGCTCCATATTTGTCCGAAACCTGATGATTTAGCAATTGTTCCACAGTATTTACTAACAGTAGATATTTCGAGAGGCTACCTGCACAAATCATTATCAACAACAATGGAGTTTATAGTTGAAAGTGATAAAGGTAGGTTTTGAGCATTTACTATTTGTTTTTTGATTTTATTTGTAATTTCATATCGACACTTAGATTAAAGTTACTGCTTTGGTGATATTTTGTTTTTTAGCCGATCTTCTTGAGCAACCAGTTTCTCCAGAGATGGTTCTCTTTTACCTTACTCAGGATACTCAAAGACATCCGCTGCTTCCTGAACTAAAGTCAGGTTTGCTTCTTACCTTGCATTATATGATATCCCATTGCTTTCTAGTTAGCGTTCTTAAAACATTGAAGTATTGTTTTCACTTTTAATGGTAATTCAATTTCTTTTGTACGCATATGACAAGAATTTACCACATAAAAACTAGCTGCGTAGCATTTTCTAATTTATGGAGCTTGTTACCATACTTATGAGAGGCATTGCTGAACAGGTGGATTCCGGGTTATTGGGAAAATGTCTACCCAATGTTCGCTATCAGATCCCATTGTTGGTGAACTAACAGTCGAAGCATCTGCAGTTCCGATTTCTTCCATTGACTTGCACTTGCTTCGTGTAGAGTCAATCCTTCTCGGAGAGAGAATTGTAACTGAACAATCTTTGGTTCAGACTACACAGGCATGCATTCACATCTTGTTAGCGTATGTAACTCAATTTACTTCTTGTTAACAATTTTTTTTTGGGGCTTCCTCTTCCTCTTATCAGATAGCAGATGGAGATGTCTGTCGTAATATGACTATGCCCATTTATGTTATACTTCCTCGTCTTTTGACTTGTCCTACCGTCTTAGCAGGGTGAGTTCCAAACTAGATGATTCGCTCCTCAATTTTTCTCTATCATAATTGTCAGAGGTTATCAAACTCAAAACCTTCGTTCGCTCTTTGTGCAGTCCATTTTCAATAGAATTTAAAGTTGCCGTGGTTGTAACCTTTCAGTCGAACATAGCGAAAATGCCATCAAAATCCGATCCTACAACTCCCAGGCTATGGGTAAGCAATCAAGCATCACTTCAGCTTTTTATAAAATCTGGTATATATTGTTCCATCTAATTTTTTCTGTTGATTCGTTTCTTTTCATTCTTAATTTCAGCTTGCAATGGAAACGTTACCGCTTGAACTTGTTCGAACACGGTGAGATGGACGTGGAAAAAGGCTAGTAGGTTCTACGAGCAATCAAACACATTTACAGCCAGAACTGAGCTGCTTGTAGCCGGCCTCATGCTTCGGCCCTTGAGCTCGGTCGCCTTTCATCGGCCGCCTCATGTTCAGCCTATCTAGTTATAGGACGTCCTAGGTGTTCTCGGTTATAAGTGAGATGTTCAAGAATGATTACATGTTCTATGAATCTAAGCTTGGGCTGTAAGCTATTGATTTATAATAACATAGCAACATTTAAGAATGAAATGTATACATAAATGTTTAAACGACGTTTTCCATAGCCGGAAAAAATGCAGATTCCGGTGCATTTCATCGCCAAGAAAAGAAAGTCATTCACAAAATGGATAGGGGGAACACCCTCTTAAACTCTTAACACAAACAGAAGCATCTCGCCGTTTATTATTACTCATCATCGACGAGTACTACACTTCACTCAACTGAAAACTCAAACAACATGGTGTGGCTGTACCTCTCACCGGGTTGAACAACAATGGACGGGAAGTTTGGTGTGTTAATTGCATTTGGGAACCCCTGCGTCTCCAAACAGAGCCCGGAATGCTTTCCATAGACAGCGCCTCCTTTGCCGACAACCCCATTGACATAATTCGCGGTGTAAAACTGCATCCCAGGGGCATTGCTCCATAGGTTAAGGACCCTCGAGCTGGATGGGTCCCTTACTCTTGCAGCATGTTTCAGGCCTTCTTTCTCTTCCCCACAGTCGAGCACGTAGTTGTGGTCATACCCTAAACCGACCTCATGGATGGACTCACCGACCCTCTTCTCGGCAGTGAAATCAAAGGGGGTCCCTTTAACCGGCTTGATTTCACCTGTTGGGATGGTGTTTTCATCCACAGGGGTAATATGGTTTGCCCAAATTTGAATTGCATGGTCAAGTATGTTGCCCGAGTTATGGCCAGCTAAGTTCCAGTAGGTGTGCTGAGCTAAGCTGACTGGGGTGGGCTTGTTCTCAGGCACTGCTTCCATGTCAAGTCTCATTGTCGTGCTTGAAGTAAGTGTATAAGTTGCAGTCAGCGACAGATTCCCGGGGTAACCTTCCTCACCATCATGACTGTGATACTTAAAAGTGATGGACGGGTTATCGCCCTTTTTAAGTTCTGCTACCTCCCATATCTGCTTATCATACCCCCTGTGACCACCTAATCAGACAGCAGGATGAATTCAGTGGCGTAAATATAAGCAAGCAAAATGAAGGGCAATAAAACACAACAATTACTGATACGACTACTAAAACAAAAAGAACGCCTCTGTTTGGTGAAAAATGAAGACATTGGAATTGAGACCTATCGCGTGGGATTGCAGACACAATACACACAAAACGGTTACGATCTAATAACAACCATCCGATTTCTTCATAAAAAAAACCTCCATATATCCATTATGTGCAACTTAGTGAGATGACAAAATTCAAAATTCGTTCATGTCTCGATGAAATTCAGTAGCAAACTTAGGTTAATCGAAAAGTAGTAGAAATAAAATCCGATGTAACAATTCCATACCATGGAGACTGTTCGGAGGTTTGTTGACAGGCAAGGAGTACTCCGTTCCATTGAGCGTAAACTTCCCGTCTTTGATTCTATTAGCAACCCGACCCACAATGCTGCCAAAGTAAGGAGCAACTCCTTTCTGATCACACATGTATCAACATTCAAAGACGAAAACAAAAACATTAGAACAATCTCATCATTCCCATTCCAAATGCATAGATCCAACATTTAAATCCCAGCACATATCAAATATATTCATAACCGATGTTTGTCATATAAAAGTGTGAAAAACCAAACCAAAAACAAACAACTTGCGCCATAAAACCATACAATTAACATCAAATCTCCAAAATTCTTCGTTTCGATTCAACAATTCCATAACCTTTAACAAATAATTTCCCAGATTTTACCATGAAAACAGCTGATCAATGCATTAGATCTACACACAAAGAACCAATTTTTGCATGATATCTCAAACAACCTGATCAAAAAGCAAAAGGGTTCTCAAAAAAGTGAAAGAATTTACCACATAGGGATCCACGGAGTCGAATCCAAGAACAACATCAGCCAATTTTCCTGCAAAATCCACCACCCAACAATCCAAACAAACATCAGCAGCATTTTTCAGATGATCAAAACATCAACAACAAAGCCTTATCCACTAAGTGGGATCCGCGTATACAAATCTTATAACGCACGGTTTTGTGAAGTCTTCCGTTAGCTTAAAGAATTTTCAGATGATCAAAAACACATAAAATGTCGACAGATTGAACAATTAAGCTGGAATTCCAAACAGAATATTGATGGGAAGACAGGAAAGAAATCTGATCGGATAAAAAGATACCGTCTTTGCCGGGAACAGACAAGGAGGTGATGGTGCAGCCTAAGTTTGTGATGAGGGCGCGCATGCTCCCATTGTTCAGTTCGAAGATTTCTGGTTTCTGGTTCGCATCCGCCATTGTTGTCGTTGTTGATGTTCCTCTGATCGGATGAGAGAGAGAGGAAGAGAGAGATGGTGAGGTTTATGGATTCTGACGCTTGTCAGTGTTTGTACGGGTTTTAAGTGTTGGGTGTGACGTCATCTGTCCCAGATGTTGCGGCATGCTGTCGTTTTGTTTCCTACTTTATCCTGAACTCCATGTCTTCTCCTGAATCCTGATCCCGGTTTACTTTGAACCCCTTATCCTCTCAGTCCAAGTCACGCGCCAGCACGTGACAATTGCACCTTGGTGGGGTCCATTGTGTTTTTTAATTATTATTATTTTTTATTTGTTTTTTAGCAACATAAGTATAAATGTGGATTCATATGTATCACGTCATCACTTAACGGTTAATATAACATATTTTATAACAGAATTTATAATATTGAAATAAAATGATTGTAAATGTATGAAATTGAAATATTTTAAAGATGTTATATAAGATTATAATTTCGTCCAAATTGGAGAAGGTAAAATGTAATTTATCCAACAAAAAAAAAAAAAAAGCTAATTTGCAACACAACATAGTTCAATTACTTATAAGCACGAGGAAAATAACTTCTAAGCACATGCAGGTTCCATATGGGCAACATCAATCGAGTGACGTGGAGCAATGTGTGGGGCATTGACTTAACACATGGGACAACATGCTCTGTCACCACGAAGAAGGTGAACCAATTTGCAATGTGAATGGTAGCTCAATTTCTTATAAGCAAATGCAAGGTTACTCATTTTTCCAATATGGGATTCATACTCTCAACAGTATGAACGACAAGTTCAATACTAATAACCTATTGTGTGGCTTAGTCCAATCCTATACCTGAAAACCATTGAAACAAAAATGTATATCAAATAACATTGCATTTGGGACGACGTCAGCTGGCGTCCTCATTGCACCAAAGTTCCTGTCATTGGGCCGGGAATGGAGGGATTCATTTGGGCTTTCTGAAAACACACCCTTAAAAAACTTGGGCTTCCCACGAAATCGGGCTTTAACCCAAAGAGAGAGGAGAGAGAGAGAGAAAAATCCCTCCCTCCTCCTCCTCCGCCTCCAGTCAGACTGAAGTTTGCATAGGACTGGCAGAGAGAGAGAGAGAGAGAGAGAGAGAGAGAGAGGGAGTGCAAAGTGCAAAAGCGCGCACACAGAGTCACGGAGAATGTGACGTCACTCAGTAGACTCGCTAACTCCCCCAAATTTAAAAACCCAACGATTCTGTTCATCCTACACACATTTCTCTCGTTCCGCCCAATCCTTCGCCGAAGACGGCGTCGTTTGCCTCCTGAAGTTGCGGTAGCCCAGCTCTCTGCAGGTATGGCTGTTCATTTTCGATAAATTCTCATCTGGGTTTTTGTTTAATGGCGATGGTAATTTCGTTCGTTCAACTTGGAGTTTAATTCGTTCAAATTGTAAGTAGAATTTGTAAGAATTGGTTTTACATTCGGTGAATTCGTTATTTGAGATTATAGAATTCAGCAGAATTGCGTCAATTTGTGTTGATGTCCGTTTGAATGTGTAATTCCTGTTTGTGATGCTTCAGCTGGTGAGGTCTACACCTTAGATTCTGGGTTTCTGTAGTTTTCGAGTTTGATCAAGTTTGCGGGCAACTTTCGCGGTTTTCTGCGTAGATGATTTGCTACCTGAATGTGTTATTTTGGTTTGGCATTAGCTAGTACTTTAGTCTCCTCCCTTTATTGGATGCTGATATTTTCGGGGTTTTGATGCTCTTGTAGTAACGCGAATGAAGTACACATTTCGTGTGCTACCATTTCTTAGAACCTTATTTCTGTATGTGTGGATGCACGCGTGTGCTTCTCTTACGAGAGTGTAGCAATGAAAATGACCGTAACTAGGGAAGAGTGTTTAGAAAAGATTGATGCAGGTGACTCCCTCATTGGTTAAAATGAAGGTTCACGTCAGTTGAGGGTTGAGTTGGGCGTAAACTACTCAAGTTTTTGCGAGTGCGCAGCTGTTATTTTATCCATTTCTTCACTTTTTGTGTTTAGAGGTTTTTCTCTTAGTCTTTGCTTCCAGACTTTTCTGTTTCTTACCCTTTATCTTCTTGTTTTTTCGGGTGTGTTGAATTGTCAAGTCGTATTATAGTCACAGCATAGTTCAAAGATGGTCCTTCTCCGTGTATAAATCACTGTACTTGGTTTTCTCGGTGGTTCATAAATTTTCATGTTTAAGGTGATTCACTAAAGTATCAATTTCACAAATGCTTATGAGGAAACAACTCCCCTTTGAATGTTGGGGTTTGACAGTTGACGCTCTTTCTTGTTCGTATATGAATTTTTCATTTAGAAAATAATGTTTTTCGATATAATATAGCTGGCAAGAGTTGTTAAACGGTATTTTCGCTTTGTTGTATTCTCTTCCAATATAGAATCTGTTCCTTTTGTTTTATATTTCTTTATGTTTGACCTCCATCCATATACTTGCTGATATTCAATGCATACATTGCTGTGCACAGGTTAGTTGGTAATGGAGAGCTCTGAAGATGAAAAGGATGCAGTCTATGAGAATTATATACCGAAAGAGCTCAGTCATGATTTATCATCTACTGGTGCAAAGTTTATAGATGAAGTCCTTAATGGTCAAAATGAAAGCTGTTTAGAAAACTTTCGCATGGACAAGCACGTCTTCTACAAGTTGTGTGATATTTTGCAAGGAAAAGGCCTTCTGCGTCACACAAATCGAATCAAGATTGAAGAGCAACTGGCCATGTTCTTGTTCATAATTGGTCATAATCTACGGACTCGAGCTGTTCAAGAGTTATTCCGTTATTCAGGAGAAACCATCAGTCGTCATTTCAACAATGTCTTGAACGCAGTAATGGCAATTTCGTTAGGTTTCTTTCAGCCTCCAGGATCTGATGTTCCTGCCAAAATTTCAGATGATCCTAGATTCTATCCATATTTTAAGGTAATCTCACAGTAACTAAGTGTGATTTGTATCTCGTTTCTATGTGATTTACAATTCGAAATTTGTATCCCATAGGATTGTGTGGGAGCAGTTGATGGCATACGCCTCCCAGTGATGGTGGGTGTAGATGAGCAAGGACCTTTCCGCGACAAGAATGGCTTACTTTCACAAAATGTTCTGGCTGCTTGCTCATTTGATCTCAAGTTCCTTTATGTCTTGGCTGGTTGGGAAGGCTCTGCATCAGATTTGCAAGTTTTGAATTCTGCTCTCACGAGACGAAACAAATTGCAGATGCCAGAAGGTATTGCTAACCCGACTTGGACTATTGAACACCCAGTTAACGTAGAAAACTACGTTTTCTTTTTAATACGATAGTCATTAAGAAAGTATTCAACTGTCTAAATTCATGCAGTTTAAATAGATTTTCAGGTTATATCGACCTATTAGATAATCATTTCCAGAAATAAATGTACTGTCAAAAATATATATGAATTGGAAAATGCTGGTTCTTATGTATGCAATACATGGTGGTCTACTTGTTTGGAAAAATATAGAAATGATCTTATTCTGTCAATACTTTGACAACTACTGTTGAATCTTACTAGCACTATTGGGTTCAAAACTTGTAACAGGTAAATACTACCTCGTGGATAACAAGTATGCAAACATGCCTGGCTTCATTGCTCCTTATCCTGGTTTACTTTATCACTGGACGGAGTTTCCTAGTGGTTATCACCCTCAAGATGTGAAAGAGCTATTTAATCAGCGACACTCATTGTTACGAAATGCATCTGAACGCACTTTTGGGGCTTTAAAGGAACGCTTCCCTATACTGATGTCAGCTCCTCCGTACCCATTGCAAACACAAGTCAAGTTGGTTGTGGCAGCTTGTGCCCTACACAATTTCATCCGCGAGGAGAAACCAGATGACTGGATCTTCAAAATGTACGAAAAGGACACCATACTGCAAATGGAGGAATCAGTTCCCCCATTAGCGGTGCTGGAGCCACCAATCATGCATTTTGAGGCCTCTGGTTTTGACACAGAAGAACTCGAATTCACTTCGCAGATGCGGGATTCGATTGCAAGTGAAATGTGGGATGACTATATCCATGATTTATCTCCCATGTAGATCAGATTGATTGTGGTCATAGTTTCAAGCCAGGCTTGGCAAATTTTTTCCGGGTTCGAGTCTCGACAACCAGACAAAGGTTTCGTTGATGTACATTTCAACTTTTGTTTATAGAAAAGAAATATATTGGTAGGGTTTGTAGAAAAAGCATTCATTTGGAGGGGGTTGATGCTGCTGGCTTTTCCACCACCTTACTTCCAACAGCTGAACTCCAAAAGAATGATGCAGGAAACTTTGAAGATTTGGATTGCATGTGTGGTAGGGAATACATTTTGTGACTAAGAAAGCAATTGTTAAAAGTGGTTCATGTACAATTCCGTGTAAAACTGGCTGGTTTAAGCAGTGGATTTGATCTTTTTTTTGGTACTATTATCTTCACTTTTTTGTCTGCTCAGTGCTCCCCCATCGTTTTATTTTATTGACTTTTTAAATATTATTATTTAATTTCGGGTGTTGTTAGCATGCATCCTTATACGTGTAAGGATGTGAAGGTTAAAGAGTCTCACATCAATAAAGAAACCTTGCAATCACTTATAAGTAAGTTAGACTATTTTCCGTATTGCTGATTGGTTTTATGGTCGAACCTCAACTCTTTTCATGGCATCAGAGCAGGTTGTCCCACGTGTAAAGCTCAATGACCACACGTGTCCAAAGTCACCTAATTTATATTGTTCACACGTTTAACTTGAAAATTCCTCAGACTAAAGGGCCGTGTGAGGATGTAAAAGTTCACGTTGTTTTGAATGCAATGTGATACCGTAGATTTTCTAATTTTTTATTATTTGCTTAGATAAACAAAAGTAATGCTTGTTTAATGTGGCATTTCCAGGTTTCCTTTACTGCGGTACAGGTGGATGTTATCACTTATCAGAGACCAAATCATGACGACCATCGGATCATGCACGCCGGTGAGGGGCCAAGGCCAGCGAGTTCACCAGTGGTCGTGGAGAGATCCTACACCGGGTGCACTCAAGTTTTTATCGTGGTGAGTTGCTATTTTTCTATGCATTTTACACTTCGTGGTCGATAAGAGATATTACCGAGTAATTACCGATATTATCCTTTTTCTCTGGGCTAGTTTGGTATTACTGTATTTTGAAAAAAAAACTATTTTTGTTGTGTTGTGAGAATAAGCGGTTATGAAATAAAGCAGGAGAGTGTTTGGTAAACTTTTTTGTAAAAATACTTTTGAAAAGAAAAAAAAGCAGTATTATAGTGTTTGGTAAACTTTTATGTAAAACAGATATGAAAAAAAGCCTGTTTTTCAAATATGAATAGTACCTAACAAAACTGACCGCATGATATAAAATGAACGGACAAGATTGCTGGATGCCTAGGATCTCTAGGGAACTGCTTAGGAGAGAATCCTGGTTCATTATTTAGGACATGCCCTTGTGCCTGTCCCTTAAATAGGAGGCTACATAGGGATGCATCATTGTTAGGTCACTAGGTCGTGGGTCCAAAACTAGTGAAACCGCTAACTAAAATTCCCTTCTGCTCTGTGATGTCCCATGAGTCCTTGAAGACAAGGGCACTCCATTCTGCAATTCTCAATAGTATCAGTGTATCACAGCTGCACATGGGAAAGGTAGGATTAGTCGCACTCAGGGAAGCGTACGCCAGCTCAATGATGTGTACCCAAAAGGATAATTAGTCGCTAATTAGGTCCCTGTAATCGTTTATACAAGGGGTGTGCTATCCACACACCTCATTTTACTTCTCACACACCCTTTATAATTCTTGTCCGTTGATATTCTTCAATTCATCCGATCCGACGGCCGAAAATTAAAAAGGTGTGTGAGAAGTAAAATGGGGTGTGTGGATATCACACCCCTTTATACAATCTAAATCAATCCAATAACTCATCGATGTGGACTCGGGGCACTCCAACACAATCATAAGACAAAAACTCGGGTAGAAGGGCCAACCACATCATCTGATTAATCACAATTCGAAGAGAATCCTGACCCCATTCCAATTAATCACAATTCACATGAACTTTTAGTTTGATGTTTTCTTTGACTAAATGATAGTAATACAGTTAGAAACTTAGAAGGTCATATATGAGTCCCCATGCCCATGAGAGGAGGGAGGACCACGAGTCTTGTGGCCACTGGTGTCGGCAGCTTTTCCTTTTAGGACACTTCCTGCAAAAGTGCTTCCCAAGCCTTTTGCTTGACCACTTAAACTATGAGACCAATAAATGCTCAAAGATCAAACCCTAGTGTATGGTACAGCACCCCACTTCCAAGGGTCTAATACTTCACTTGATTGATCTATTACATCAGTTCCGAGAAATTTTTCATTATGACTGTAACACAAATGGTATATCACGTGTTTTAATAGAAGTGGTGGAAATTTTTCTTTTTTAAGTTATTAACTTTTTAGCATACGTATCTCATCATTTGCATAATGACACGCGTTGTACCATCCCGTGTACTGGTCACATTGAAAAATCTCTCTATCAGTTGGAGAGATTTTCTAGTATACACAGAATACGAAACGGTACACCACATGTAATTATAGAAAAAAAATTTACATCACTTGTATAATAACATGTGGCATACGCTCCGTGTTATAAGTACATTGAAAAATCTCTTCATCATCTAAAAGTCTTTTATAGGTATATGTACCCCTAATGACGTATTTACTAACTCATAATGAAAGACGTCGTGAATGAGAATAAAACTTGATTATTCAAGTTTGAGATAAACAATTCTCATGCTGCTCTTTTATTTAATTGTTTAGGTGTGATTTGCTTAATTTCAACGTGAAATCCACTTACTCTTTTATTTCTTTTGTATTACGAAATTTATGTATGACATAAATTAAGTTATTTCACATGTGAATGATACGTATATGTTACATTCCAACCTTCAACAAATTAAATTGTATAGAGTAACTTAGAAATAGGTAAAGGACATAGGGCCACTAGTCATAATATAGAAACTTGAAGGGACTCGTTTGGTAACCAATTTTTAAAAGAAAATACTTGGCTATTCATAGAAACGGTTCATAAATGTTCGTGTTTATTATCAGAACCGTTAATATTGTAAATCACTCTATAAAGATTGTCTTTGGAAAAAAAATAAAAAATTTAAAGTCATTTAGTCATCAAACAATATAAAAACAGATGAACGAAATTAGTAAAAGTATTATGAATCGTTTATGTATTTGTTATACCACATTGACTGAACTACCTTAGTTTTAATTCATTTTTTGCAAAGATGATCTTTACAGAGTGATTTAACGATTCTGATCATATGTACAAAACTCTATAAATGAAACATGAAAAAAAATTTAAATAAAAATTCTTACCCATAATTAAGTAGTTAAGTATTGTTCGTAAAAAAAATATATTTTTTTCTAAATTGAAGATTAAAATATGGAAAAGTACAAAGCACCTCCAATGCCCCAAACTTTAATGATTTGAAACGCAATCTAACTTCCAGTTAAATTAAACATCCCATCCATCACCATCTCCCCCTCTCCCTCTCTCTCTCTCGATCGACGCTTTAAATTGCACATAAATAAAGCTTCAAAATTAAAACAAGAAGAAGATCAGAATCCAAAGTTGCCATCCCAATTTTCCCGAGAAACAAACAGAAAATCCTCTCTCCAGAAGCAGAAAGAGCCAAAAAAAATGCTAGATCCGAGAAATGACTTGCTGCCGCCGCCCTCCTCCCCCACCAACTCCTCCGTCTCCTCCTCCGATCTCGACACCGAGGTAACCCATTCCCCCATTTCTCTCGCCAATTTCGTCAATTTCTTAAATTTGATTTTATAAATTTGTGAAATTTTGAATCGCAGTCTACAGGCTCGTTCTTTCACGATCGGAGCACGACGTTGGGAACCCTTATGGGAGTGAGTTTCCCCTCCATCACCTTCAGAGCTCCGAGCCAGAACAGCCGCGACCCCCAAGCCGGAAACATCAACAACAATGGAAGTGCCAGCGGAAGCAGCTCCAGGAAGACGAAGAAGCCGAAAAAGAAGAGTGTCGCCGCTTCGTCGGCGGTGGGTGTGGTGGCGGAGCGGCGGAGGAGGTGGTGGCGGCTTTGCCGTGACGACTGCACCAAGCCGGCTTCGCTTGGGGAGTTTCTTGAGGTGGAGAGGAGGTTCGGAGACGCTGCGTTTTATAATACGGCTGCGGAGCTTGAAGGCGTCATGGTGGACCAGCCAAGAAATGGACGGCTGTTGTTCGCCGACGGGAGGGTTCTTCCGCCGCCGAATGTGGATGATGGGATTGCGAATGCATCGACGGCTGGAGTTCTCTCTAGATTGCCGGTTTCACTCACTGCCATCTGTAGTGGCGGTGTAGCATAATTCTGCTCCCGCTTTTTTCTTTTTCTTTTTTTTCTCCTCCGTCTTTTGGTATTTTTATCGCTGTTTAATGACATCGGCATTTTAGTTTATTTATTTTTAATGTGGAAACTAATGGAAAACAAAAACAAAAATAATAATGTTTATGCATCTTGGATTCTTCATGCGTGTACATCTTCACCGATCTTTCTCCTTCTAATATTTGATATTTTAACTCATTAACACTATTGTTGGTTAAAAAAGAATAAGGCAATAGGCAAAACCACAACACCGACAGAGCTAGTTAAGATTCAAGTGTCTTGACTAATCTAATGCCATCCAAAGTGGCATTGGCATTTGGCATATGGACATCAAAAGAAGCAACCACTTGAGATGCTGACCCAATCGACCCGTGCGAGAAATTTTCATGTCAGTCGAGATACAGACTCTGTATAAAGAGCAGGGACTACGACCATCCTATGAGTGCTTTAGGATTAGGTCCCCTTATTCCCTCCATTTGCAGAGGTTGGCTGCCGACGTCTCTGTGGAGATATCCAGACCGTCATTGCGATAAAACTTCATGTACCATTGTCTTTTCCTTTTTAATTGTCTTTTGTTATCCATCCACGTCACGATTTAGAAGCTAAATTTCTTACAACAATATTTTCAAACTAATCTTGTAAAGAAAAAGATTGTGGTTAACTTTTGGACAAGGTCACATAAATCAACCACCACTTCAGGGTAATATACTAATATATTTAGTTTTGGTAGGTTGGTTTGGCTTTTCTTGGTTCCTTCCTGTGTCCCTATCTCAAACTGAATTATGGGACTCAACATCTCCTCTTCTAATAGAAGACAAACTTGTGTAAGATTGTCTCGATTTTCGATCATATCACGACACTTCTTTCAAAATCATGAGACTCCTTACATTTCGATTTAATCGAACGGAGGCAGATCACTTCTCGTAGCCTTATGTTTGTGTGGTCACGGTTAAATCACGTCAATATTTTATATTACTATTCTTTTTTTTTTCTTATTATCTCTTTAAAAATTAATATAAAATATTAACGTGGCTTAATTGTGATCACACAAAATAAGAAGGTACAGAAAGACACAGAAAGTAGAATGGCAGAGAATCTGCCTCCTAATCGAACTCTATATATTCTTTATTTCATATGAGATTTGTCAGACAACTGTCTGAATAAAAGTCTCAGCCCAAATATTCTTTTTTTTTTTTTGGTAAACCAGCCCAAAGTATTCAGTAATTACCAAATTATTAAAGATTTTCAACAATTAAAGTAGAAATAGAACAAAATGAGATAATTCTTTCAACTATTTTTGGTCAAATAATATAATTTCAGGTAGCCGTTAATTAGAAAAAATAGAGAATATTTTTGCTGACCAATCTCACCACTCTATTTGTTATTGTGCGATGAGTTTAAATTTTGAAATTTGCGTAACGGATAGACATCAATCTCAAAATTTAAACTAATTTAACAATGATAAATAAGATGGTAAACATTACCATTACTTGAAGGCAGTGAACAAAAATGCACTTGAAAAAAAAAATTCTCCTTGTCAACTTTTTACCACCTTTTTTCAATTTTGCCCTCACTTTTGAGACACACTCTTAACAAAGAAGAGGGTAAAATAGTAATTTTGTACATTTTTTACAAAATCACTATCATATCCCCATTTTTTCTATTTTACCCTTACTTTTGATAAACAATATTTACATAAAGAGGGCAAAATGGTAATTATGTAATATTGAGAAACATATGCCCTTATTAAGAGATCTCATCATCATTATCTCATACTCTTTTTAAAAATTTGATTTTTTTGGATAGTTTGAATTAACTGAAGCGGTTGCACTTGTGGAGAATGTGGAAGGAAGTGGGCGATTGTTCACACACACAAAGTGTGTGCTCTCTGCTAGTGTATGTGTGTGTGTGTGTGTGTATAGGACAAGGATTGTATGCCCTCTTGTTTGTGTGGTCACGGTTAAGATGGTAAACATTACCATTACTTGAAGGCAGTGAACAAAAATGCACTTGAAAAAAAAAATTCTCCTTGTCAACTTTTTACCACCTTTTTTCAATTTTGCCCTCACTTTTGAGACACACTCTTAACAAAGAAGAGGGTAAAATAGTAATTTTGTACATTTTTTACAAAATCACTATCATATCCCCATTTTTTCTATTTTACCCTTACTTTTGATAAACAATATTTACATAAAGAGGGCAAAATGGTAATTATGTAATATTGAGAAACATATGCCCTTATTAAGAGATCTCATCATCATTATCTCATACTCTTTTTAAAAATTTGATTTTTTTGGATAGTTTGAATTAACTGAAGCGGTTGCACTTGTGGAGAATGTGGAAGGAAGTGGGCGATTGTTCACACACACAAAGTGTGTGCTCTCTGCTAGTGTATGTGTGTGTGTGTGTGTGTGTATAGGACAAGGATTGTATGCCCTCTTGTTTGTGTGGTCACGGTTAAGCCACGTCTACATTTTATATTACTATTTGTTTTTGTCTTATTATCTCTATAAAAAAACAATATAAAATGTTGATGACACACCCCGATCCTAGAATCAAGGCGTGGTGTAGGACTCACCATCAGGTGTTTCATCTTAGTAATTGTATTTTTAAAGTTTCCGAACTGTGTAAATGGTTACGTCACTCTCACGTGACGGCCAACATGCCCTCCTTCGGGACGGGGTGTGTCAGTTGACGTGGCTTAACCGTGACCACACAAAACAAAAGAACACGGTAGGGCACAGGAATAAGGAGGGCAGACAATCCTTGTCTATATATATACACACTTTGCAGCTTTCAGCGTTTCAAAGCAATAAACAATGATTTCTTCTTACACTCTTGATTATATAAAATTTAGAGGTTAGGAGTCTAATAAATTAATAATACATATATCAAATTTACAAAATAATTTAGTATATAATATACTGCAAATAAACAATATTATTAATCAATGTCGCCATCATGGAATCTAAAACGAAAAGCATTCTTAATTTGTTAGTTGGTTTGTTCCATCACTTTCCAGCTTTAGGAATGGTGGAAGGCAAACGGAAGACAACTAATCTAATCCCAACCATATTTGATTAGATACATTAACAAAAAAAAATTTCACAATAAACAGCTAATTGATGTTGCATGGACCATCCAGATTTTCTTACACGACTAAGAATGACTTAGGACTCGTTTGGAAGTAAATTTAAAGTAATTGAAAGCGCTTTTAAAGGAAATATTGTTGAGTTTTAAAAGCACTTGAAGTGTTATGTGCTTCTTGTAGTGTTTTTTCAGGATTCACTTGTATTTTTATTAAAAATTGATTTCAAAAATATTTTCATCAAAAACGCTTTTAGTCATTTTAAAATCATTTATAAACAAGTCATAAACTAGCAAATGCATTAGAAACCAAATCTAAACATACAACCGAAACTTTCTCGCATTTAAGCTAGCTCATGAAGTTAGTTAGATATTTAATTACTTCTAAAATTAATTCGAGAAAAAAATTAAATCCAAATGTACGTAATTAATCAAAATTTATTACAAATGAAGAGGATGTCAAAGTGTACAAGGAGTTTCATCAATGGTTTCTAATGCAGGCTTCCATGATCTTTGCTTTGAGTACCTCTCCAATAATACTACTGGCTCTGAATTATGGCTTGAATTAACACTAATAATTGCATGATCTTCATTGCAATCCAATCTCTTGGATTCCGAAAGATTAAACATGCGAAAATCTCCAAAAACCGGAAAAATCCTACTGAAATTGTTGAAGCCTCTACTGTTCTTGAGTGCCCTTGAAGCCCTGTAAGTTAGGGAGCTGAGTTCTTCGTGTGTTAGCACTGAGTAGAGGAGGTCCATGGGGAGGAGGAAGTAAAACCGCCGTCTTTCGAGCGGTTCGTCGGCAGTGAGGCCGTGGATTCTGTTGCCAACTTTGAGGATGGTAGAGTCACACAAAAACTGGCCCGGATGCTCTACCATTAGCTCTGATGCTTTTACTTGCCTTCCGAAAACTTCCAGTCTTCCGTCCAAACATAAGACTTTTGTTGCTCCTCCTGGACTGCTTGAGCATATGGTCAATGGAGCACAAGAAACTGCTGCATTTCCCATCAGAAGAGGCAAATGGTAGTTCTCCTCTTTGGAGGAGGGGCGAGAGAGAGAGAGAGAGAGAGAGAGGAAGGAGAGGGATGGATGGGGGTTTGGAAGAGTGTTTGAACGAGTATATATAAATGAAATTGTGCATGCATGAATATGATAGTGGTTGATTGACAGAGTGGGAGAGAAATTAGATGGATTTGTCGTCTACCTAGATACATGTCACTTGGTTACACAGAAAGCATACAAGTTTCATACTCCCACCATGTGAACTTTGAATAGTATGGCTACGAAGTATTGGACGGTTCCTTATAAAACACTCTTTATATTTTATTTATCAATAATGTTTTGATATCATTGATGTTAACAAGGTGGTTCGGAAGGGTGACCAGAACCCTTAATTCTTTGAGGTAACCACTTCCCAATCGGTCAATATCAACTTCCTTAATTTTGATATAGAAAAGCTTATCAACAGCCAGTCCACAAAAGAACTCCCAAATATATCAACTTGTTATCAATAAGTTTTTGCCAATATCAATTTTTCAAAAAATAACTTTTAAAACTTGATATGATTTTGTGGTATTTTTTCACAGTGAACGGAATCGAACCCTAATCAATACTTTAAAAGCGTGGAAAGCCAATGGCTAGGTGAGTGAGGCTAGCATGTCCTCTCTAATTACAATAGTGTATTTTAAATGTATAGGATTTCAATAGGATTTTGATGAATTTATCAGTAGGGAGGGCACATGGTGAAGCATGGAGCAATTTGTTGGGTAATGTACAAACTGCTCACTTAAGGACACCACCAAACGAATGATTGGACATGGTTACCTACCATTTCTTTTATATTATTCCTGCAATAGCCTCACCTACTCTATATATACAAATACATACAAATACACGCATATATATCAGAAAAAAAATATTTTTAAAATGTTCGTTTACAGGTGACTAAAAAATACATGGACACTCATTCTTGAATTTGACATCAGTGGTAAACAAATGTGTTTTAAATGGTTTAATCTCAACTCTTGATATCAAATTCAATGATGCACGTCCACAAAACCTCGATCATTAGGTAACTATGAAAACGAGACTCATATAAATATAATAGTAGAGAGAGAAGGAAGAGATGTATATATCTGTGTAGTGTGTACCTATATTTGGAAGAAGTGAGAGAGGGATATCTAGGCAGAGAAGTAGTGACAAGGTCAAATCTTTTGCTAGTTATGCAATCACTTTCCAGTGCTAGCTAAGGCTGATAAGCTAGGTGCTACCAATGCACAATATTCCCTAATACATGTTACCGATGATTTTGGAGCTATTATCTAATCTTGGAAAAGGATGGCGATGATCATTTTCTTAGGGATTCAATGATCTCACTTGTTCATCGTATATCGTGCGGTCAGTTTTTATTAGATATTATTTATATTTAATTTTAAATTTTAAATTTTAAAATGATTTCTGACCGCACGATGTACGATGAACGGATGAGATCACGGGATCCCTAGGAAAAGGATCTTGCGAGGATCCTTTTCCTCTAATCTCAACTGTATGATTGGTTAGTTGGTAAAACTTAAGCTTAATTAGTTTCCTAAATGGTCTAAACTATAGCAGTTTGATCTTGGTAGATATTAGCTTAATCAAGTATCAAGTGAGTCCAAAAACCAATTAACTGTACTAAATCTTTTGGAGGGATTATATTAGAAATGGGACAGCCTTTTTTGTTGTATGCTCATTGCTTAAATAGATTGCTAATTAAATGATTATGAAGCAAATCTTGATTAATATTTCATATCGTAATTATTGAATCAATGAGTAACCCACTCTTGTCTTACTAAAGAAAGCCCTAATGTGTTGCCCTGTCTCATTCCATGTGGAAGTGGAAGTTATTGCTTGTCCTTTCTCCGGGTGAGAAAGATACTTACTTACAACCTGGTGTATTTCCGAATGGAAAGGGTTTTCTCCGGATCTCTTTCATCAAATCCATCCAATCATTAATCTGGACTATTGAAATTTGATCCAACGTGAAGGGCCCCCTTGTTTTTAGCCGTTTGATCAAATTTCAAGAGTCCAAATTAATCGATTGAGTAGATTTGGTGGAAGGGATCCAGAGATGATCTCTTTCCTTTCCGAACGTCTTCTCTCTCACACACTATTTTTTTGACAAACCTTATACACATGAAAGTTCTCATTTCATCTAAGCGGTTTTCGCACTTTTATTATTTTTCTTTTGCACTTTGTCTTAGTGTAGATAATATCGTTTGTTAAAAAAATAAAAATTTTATGGCTAGAAAAATATAATAAAGCGTATAAAGAGAAAAAGAAAGTACAAAAATCATTGCTCTTAATCTAATTTGTGTTCAATCTGTTTGGGCCCAAAATAACAGTTTGGGCCGAGTGTAGGGTCATTCTCGGCCCTGGAGGCCTTGCGGCAAGAATATCACGGATCATTCAGTATGTGGGCCTCCAAACCCAGGTCGGCTAGGTCATAACGCAAGAGGTCGAATCCTAGTGCAATAGGGACTCTCGACGAGGTCAATAACCTAGAAAGCGAATCCGGCTCAGTTAAGGACTAGATTCGTAGTCCTAGCGGAGATAGGACTGATCGAGGGGATGTTAATCCGGAGAAGGAGACCTAGTCCGAATAGGATTGGAACTCGGGCTCGATGTGCTGCTACTATAAATACAAGCCATTTAGCAACTGTGAGGACCCCCACAAAATCAATACAAAATTGCCCTGCGCAAACTCTCACAACTTGTGATTTTTCTTTTTCCTTTTTCGCTGACACATCTTCCGTTGGCATCAACAGCACTGTGGAAGCAACCGGTGATATCTTAAGTCGGCATAGATAGCTCTGTCACCGTAGAGTCAGTCGGTCTCGCAGTATCTTCCGTTGGCATCAACAGCACTGCGGCGAGAACGATTGATTACCTATCCAAGTCTCGGTCGAGAAGGGTTTCTAAATCCTTATTGGTCGAGGTCATCTCATCAGCCTTTTCGGCGAAGTGAGGTGTTACAGTTAATACATTCGGCACATTGAAAGCCGAATTTGATATTGAACTTCGTAAGAATAGTAACCTTGTCTTCAGGTTCGAGAGCCCAAGAGGCCGAGACGTGTTCCTTTCTCGGCCGCAATCGCAAGACGCAGAAGTCAGTAGCGCGACCCAACGCAACATCAACAAATTTACTCCTCGGCCGAGCTCGGCCGACGAGTTGGCACGCCCCGCATTCACCGAAGGACGTAGTTAGCTCATTAATTACTCGGCCTGCGCGCCACGTAGGCTTTGTAGTTTCTAGGGTCAACACAATCACATATGTGTCGAGAGATAAAGAGAAAGAGGTACGCACTCTAAACAAATTCACACACTTGACATGGAAGCTTTATATTTCTTATGATGACTTGGATTGTGTCATATGAGGAAAATTTGTATAGAAATGCCTCGACAACATCTTATGTAAATATATTGAACTCTTGTATTTATATCTCATTCGACTCTGGACATAGTTAAGCAGCTCCAAATATCGTTCTCCCTTGAAAATAATAGTCATTGATCTTTTAAGAGGTGGGACCCTGAAAAGACAAAATTACTGTATCAGACTTGAGGGTGGAGGGAAGCGCTGAATACCAGTCATCTGCAATCCATTACTGTATCAGACTTAACGGTAATCCTTGAGTTACCTTCTGCTGCTCCCTCCCTCTCTCTCTCTCTACCAGGTACTCTCTCTCTCTCTGTCTCTCTAAAAGATATCTCCTTTCATCAAATATGTGCCTAATTTACAAATAAAAGCAATCGGATTTTGGTTTAGCCCCTGCGTTTAATGCTCAAATTAATTATAATTTTCCCTATTTTTTCTTGGGTTTGTTTTGATTTTTGTGGTAATGCGAAGAAAATTGCAGGATGGCATCTCTCCCACTTGGAAATACTCCTAGTTGTAGTTTAGCATGTGAAAGAAGACCAATTTCTCTTCTGGGGGTTTCGGCTCTGCCATTGATGCAATTGAAGGTCAGAGCTTTTCATGGTTTGGTGAGAGGTCAGTTGCTGCTGCTTTGCCTTTCTTGAATGTTTTTTTTTTTGGCTTCAGCTACTTGGGTTTGGTTTGAAAGATTTCCCGTTCGATTTTCGGGTCTAAATGTTTTTATAGACCTTTCTGATTGTATTTGTGCAAAATTTCCATTGGTTTACGGAGAAATCGACAGCTCTTGTATTGGTTAGTTCTAATAGAATGTGGGGGGGGGTTTTGCTTTTCATTTGATTTACACCCATTCTTTATGGAACATATTGTTTCTTGCTTCGTCAAATACAACAACAACGAAGCCTTATCCCACTAAGTGAGGTCTGCTGTATGAATCCCAACAGCAAGCGTAGTGGCGTTCTAGGATTCATACAACACTATTTAAATGATTGACCAATTTAGGCATTTTGGAAACTCCTGTGTTACCTTAAGATGTTGCATTATTTGAATGTTCTATTTTATTACCATATGTTTTCGTATACTAGGATATCAAGGAGGGTTCTACTTGATTGAAAGGGATTGCGTACAAATATTATCATTTGCTTATACAAACCGGACATTTGACTGATATTACTACGTTTATACTGAATTCGTCAGGAAGAGTCGTGACTCACAGCTTATATAGAAATGAAGCATCCCTTTTACGTGGAGAAGGATCCAATAGCATCAACCACATAATTCCAAAAAAGGCGATCTTGACCATCCCCAGATGTAGCAGTTCCTCGGACTCTAATGGAAGCGAAGATGACTCCTCTGATCAGGCCAAGGCATGCATGAGGAATTCTGATGAATGATTTGTTCTGTATTTTATTTTTCTGTAACATGAATCCAAGTTTATCCCACTGGCATCTCTTGTCAGCATCAGCTGATGTCCTAAGATGTATCAACAATCGAAAATGTTGGTTACGTACTAAGCAGAAGGTTGATTGTCTGGTATATGGTTCTTGCTTCTCGCATAGATTGCAGATTTTAACACAGCATGCACAAGGAGTTAGTATGTCCAGTTTATTTCATATAGCCGGTCCTTTTAGTCAGTGGGATTGGGGGGTTTGGGGTAGAGATATATCAAGTCTTGTTCAACACTCGGTCATATCGACAGGGAAAGAAAGATGTTTAATTACATTGTTTTTTCTTTTGTGTTTTAACAGAAGAAACCATTTGGATACTCAAGAAAGGATGTTTTATTGATTGGAGTAGGAGTAACTGCTATCGGGATCGGCTTGAAAAGTGGATTAGAGGTACTTTATTCTCTTGTTTAATTGTTTCATATAGTTTCTATCCTTGATAGCTTCCTTTTCTTTTTTAGCTAGCTCATTCTCCAGTCGTGTAACTATTCTTGCTATGATGCTTTATGCAGTTTGCTGGAGTTGATCCTTTACAAGCAGGAAACGTCGTTCAGCTGGTGCTGGTGTTGGGCCTGACTATTGGATGGATTTCCACTTACATTTTTCGTGTTTCAAATAAGGAAATGACGTACGCACAACAAATACGCGATTATGAAAGCAAAGTCATGGAGGTAACTTTTTTATTATAATCTCTTGTATCTACTTATCTAGTATAATTCTACCAAATTCGGTTCTTTTTTTTTCTCTGTAAAATTCTTGAATTTGTATGCATTTTTTGCATCTCTTGATTTTACGTAGTTCTCTCTCTCTACAACAACAACAACCAAGCCTTATTCTACTTAGTGGGGTGGGCTGTATGAATCTTAGAACTCTGCTGCACTTGTTTTATAACATTAATGAGTTTCGGAACCCTGTTACAGTGAACCCCATAGGTAACGAGTTTCCTGTTAACGGCCAGTATTGATGCTGCTATGTTGCGATAGCTATTGAGATTGAGAGTTAAGTGTGCTGATGTGAGTTGCATGAGAAGTTTGGGGGATATTATGCAGCATACTTCCCAGAAGTTTCTTAGATTTTTCGGTTGCACTGTACTTTTACTGAAGTTTGAAGTTTCTAACTTTCTCTATTAATCATACACGTTTCCCTAACGAACGAATGGGGTAAAATTGTGGATATGCAGAAAAGGTTAGAAGGCCTAACAGAAGCAGAGTTAGAAGCGTTGCTTGAACAAGTTGAGGAAGAGAAGAGGCGCCTCGGCGAGCAGCAGGTCAAGTAAAAAGGTTCCTTACACCTTTGATCATAGTTTATAGCCTTCATGAAATGACTCTGTGTATAGATACTCAGATAAAACACAACAGGCAAAGTGATAGATTCGTTTTGTACTTTACATCCCAGAAGTAGTAGTTCGTCGGCCTCTAATGGCAGCGAAGATGACTCCTCTGTAATTTAAGTCACGTATGTTTGTGAGGTTTCCTTTCGCTTTTCATTGACTCGGGATCTCGGTGCAAGATAACTCTTATCCAACTAAGTTACAAGTTTCTTACAAATTCATCTGTTATTTTAATTTGTTTAGGTTTACCTAGATTAAGCAAACAATATTACAAAATTTATTTCCACACGACATGTTTAAGTCAATCCATAGCGCTGGTGAATACGATGATGCTCAGGGAGGCTGAAATGCCTTTATGAGCTTTCCTGGCCCTCGGAATAGTGGACTGCTGTGGCAACTGCATTGCAACTGCCATGACGAAGCCACAAGCCGGCCCTCGGCATGTGACATACCACATGCTACCATAATTAACACCATTGAGAAATTATGAGAATATAATTGACGAAACATGATTATTTGCAGTTACTTAATCTACTAAGAAAGGTGCAACTTACATATCCATTGTTACTTGGAAGTTTTTAAGCATGGTGGTCACAAAGCTGGATACCAATTTAAATCTTCATGGTCAAGCAAACGACTAACAAGTGACTAGAGTTTTTGAATAGAAAAATACAAAATCTATTAAACCACACTAATCTATGTAAAGAAGAGTTAAAGTCAGGTGCAATTAGAATAACACACTGCTCTAACTAACTAGCCTAACTAACATATGCATCGCGTAACTAGAGTTTATCCAATTCAAAGAAAAAAAGATTCCTCCATCCATATATTACAAATTTACAACATAATCTGGCATTGTTGAAACAATGCTAAATTTCTCTCCTTCAATATTTTTTGCTTCACAATGCAATATCCTACTATAAATTATTCCAAAAAATTTAAACTCGAGTGTAAAAGAAAGAATCGTTGTCTAACCGATTGACATAACTTGCATATTTTACTAAAATTTTGAAAATAAAATTTACAAAGAGAAAATATAAAATGGTCGTTAAAGCTTTTTGGTGACGATTTTTTTACTGAGGAGATTTGTTCATATCTTTAGCGACTTGTTTATAAATAACTCTTTTATCACTAAAATTTTATTTGATTTGGTAGAAAAACATAGAAGAGAGAATCGAGGTAAGTGATATGATTACTTGACCGTGAGGGATAAAAAATAACAAAATTATTTTACATTCAAGTTACTATATTGTTAATAAATTTTAAGAAAAACTAATGAAAAGTTCAAAAAAATGTTAGTTTTAATGAAAAATGTCAAATTAAGGTGTAGTGAATAATATCAAAAAAAGGTAAAAATGTGATTTTTCGTTAAAAATGAAAAGTACCGAAAGTGTTTCGTTAAAATTTCATAGATTTTATTTTGGTTATTTCTTTAGTTTCGCAAACGGGAATAATTTGGTATTTTTTTTTTTAGGTTTGATATAGTGAATTTTGTTAATATGTGATGCAGATTAGAAAAAGAAAACCCGGTCTAGCGATAAAAAACGGAGGCAAACAAAACCCGGGAAACTGGCATGACAGCGGCGGGATCTGCAACTGCGCCACCTGAACGATCAACGCCAAAACGCGTGGCGGGTCCCATAACTGCTGTGTGCATGTAGGCCAGGTGTCTCCAAATTAATACGCCTTCAATTTTGGGAATTAATTCCAATTAATTAAATCCTACTCCCGAATTTCTCAAACTTACCAAATCCCAAATCCCTTCCACCAAAAATCGAGAGATCACTCTCTTAATCCCAATCATTAATGTCTTCATCTTCTTCTCTCGAATACTGAAAACGTCTCTCTCTCTCTCCTCTTCCGGCCACCGCCGTGGCTTCTCCGCTTCTCTCTCTCAAAACTCCCCCTCTCTCTCTAGAGTCGTGCTGATTGACAATTAGCTGGCGGTACCACAGACATGCGATTCCGCGTTGTGAAATTCCGAGATTGACCTGGAGAAATCGCCGATTTCGATGGCGGTTGTCACCGGAGATCGCTACCTGGAGAAGCTAGTCCACTTCGTGGAGCAGCAGGCCGGTTCGTTGATCGACGGGAGCCTAGTGCTGAAGCTGAACCCGGCCGGGTTCCACTACGTCAACTCCCGGCTCGAGGCCTTGCACGAACTCGAGAGCCTCCTCGCCGGCGCTCCCGTTGACTACCTCCGCGCCTACGTCTCCGACCTTGGAGACCACCGCGCGCTCGAGCAGCTGAGGAGGATTCTCAGGCTCTTGACATCCCTCAAGGTCGTTTCGGTGCTGCCGCCTGCTGCCAGGGACCCTACGCCGCTGTCGTTTTGGCCGTTTGGGAGGCTTAAGGTTTTGGAGCTTCGAGGATGCGATTTGTCCACCTCCGCCGCGAAAGGGTTACTGGAGCTGCGTCACACCTTGGAGAAGATCATTTGCCATAATTCTACTGTGAGTTTTCCTGCATTTTGCTCTGCTTTTCTCAGATACTTAATCAGCATTTTAAGTTCTTAATTTGGTTAATTAGGCTCTTGATATGATTAAATTGCTGGAAAAAATTATGTTAGGATGCTTTGCGGCATGTGTTTGCGAGTAGAATTGCAGAGATTAAGGACTCGCCGCAGTGGAACCGCCTGTCATTCATTTCGTGTGCTTGTAATGGCTTGGTTCTCATGGATGAGTCTTTGCAACTTCTTCCTGCTGTCGAAACTCTCGACCTTAGCCGGAACAAGTTTGCAAAGGTTGATAATCTTCGCAAGTGTGTCAAATTGAAGCACCTAGACCTCGGTTTCAATCAGCTCAGAACGATTTCGTTATTCGGTCAGGTTTGAGTTTTAGTCCACACTTGATTGCTTCGAGAAGTTGTATGCATAAATTTTTCCGAGAAGAGTACATTTTTATAGTCCCTAAGATTGAACAAGATTTGATCTTTTTGGTTAATATTCTGTCAAGATTGTTTATTTTGGTGCATATTACATTGATAAAAGTACTAAGAAGTGCTTTTTCTATAGTTCGTTTTCTATTGCTGTAAATTTTCTGTTTAGGAAATAGATTTGGACCCATACTCCGTTGTTGTTGGACCATGCAGGTCACGTGCCGTTTACTTAAACTTGTTTTGAGGAACAATGCTATAACTACATTGCGTGGGATTGAGAATTTGAAGTCACTGGAAGGGCTTGACGTTTCCTACAATATTCTCTTCAATTTTTCCGAGTTAGAATACCTTTCTGGACTTCGATCTCTTGAAAACTTGTGGTTGGAAGGGAATCCATTATGTTGTGCCAGTTGGTATCGGTCACAAGCATTCAGCTATGTCACTAATCCAGAAAAAGTAAGTTAAGATTCATCATTTTATTCATTTCAGATTATTTTCTTCATTCTTCAGGACCTGAAGTACATAGATCTTAAATATAAAATTTTGAAGCATTCATTACATAATTTTCACGTCATTTACTAATTTTGTTTTTCTAACTTTTGTGTTTTGATCTGTCGTATGGCTGATTAGTTGAAGTTAGATGATAAGGAGATCAGCACCAGAGAATTTTGGAAGAGGCAACTTATTATTGCTAGCAGGCACAAGCGACCTGCCAGCTTTGGGTTTTATTCTCCTGCAAAGTGCGATGATAAAGGAGATTCAAGTATTAACAAAAAAAAGGTAGGTCATTGTTGACAAGTATTCGTATAAATTCATGTTAAAACCTTGGTATTGGGGGCTGGTTGTTATATATATCGTCTACTCCATTATAAACTAGACAGTCATAAAATCTTGCATCCTTGCTGTTTTGCAGAAAAAGGTATCTCGTCTTGCATCAATTGTTAATGAAGAGGAGAACACATGTTCTGACCAGGACTCTGTGTCTTGTGAGAATGAGATCCAAAGCAGAGAGGATGTTGTCATATCTGACGATGAAGCTGAAATTTTTGATTTGATGACTAGAGTTGAGCTAATGAAGAAAGAGCGCTCCGTTCTTTGGTTGCGGGAGTTCAAGGAATGGTTAGATCGTGCTTCTGAGAATGATGCAGACATCAGTAGATATAGCAGGGCTAGATTGCATCTTGAGAAGGAAAAGTATATAAAAAACAAGGCAAGTTGGAGGCAGCTAGGTGAAAAATCAACATACGTTCAAGCATCAGGAGACGAGAGTAATACAAATGTTTTAGAATCAGTGGGGAATGCTGGTAGGGTCAGCCCAGTTGGCATGGATAGTAGAGATATCGGGGAGAACTTAAAAGCATATTCGTATGAAAGCCCAGTTGGCATGGATGGTAGAGATATTGAGGAGAACTTAAAAGCATATTCGTATGAAGGGACAAGTACTTTCAGTTCAGAGGCTAAAAGTTCCCATACTCAGACATTCACCACTGATGGAGGTCATAGGATGGTCCAAAATTTGAGTATGTCTGCATTGTCTGTCATTGATGATATTTCAGAGTCTTATTCATCATCTGCTAACCCAGGATCACCGCCCCATTATCAAAAGGACATTCTTCATCGTCGACATAACTTAGAGGTGGAAATTTTACAGTTATCCGCAGAGTCCTATTCAGTGGCATCATCTGATAGTAATACGAGCTCAAGTGAAGATGAAAATTGTGAATCTAGGCAGTCAGTTCCTGAGAACTTGTTGAATGAGAGTGCCGAAGAATACCCATCTAAAAATTGTTTCAAGTATTATGACATAAAACATGAGATTGACAGACGTTCGGTCAGTGTACGTGCCAGTGACATTCCTGCTGATGCTCATGATGTTGAAATTACTAATTGCATTAATGAAGAGGGTGATTTGCTGGAGAGGAGGAAAGGAAGACAGAGGACTAAAAGAAGAGTTATCGCTATAGTAGAAGATGATAACATGATTAGGCAACCAGAACTGTCACCAAAATCAAATGGCAATCTAGGTAATCATGTAGGGCAAGTCGAAAATAAGCAAGAGAATAAATATTTCTATGGGAGTGATTTTCAAGAAGTTGTTGATAAGAAACAGATGTTGGCAAATAGAAGCAGTGCCTCAATAACCGAAATCTTATCTTCAGGAAGTGATGAATTTATTGAGAATTATTTCAATACAAATATCGCAGATTCACGAAATCACGAGATCTGTAGGCATTATTTGTGTTGCTGTTGTATACTTGAGCGGGATTTTCTTTCCCCAGAAAGGTGAACATTTTTTTAATTTGTCTTTTTATGCTTGAATCGTAGTGTCTCTAACAATGTTTTCCTGTCCATTCTGATATTTGTGCTTATGTCCGGTCAGGTTTCAGACTTCTCTGCTTTTTTTATATGTTTATGTATTTTATTTTACATACAGAGAAGTTGCTGTTGTACTTAGTAGTGAAGACAAGCTTTATATACTGCCCATTGGTATTGCAGGAGATGGGTCAGGTTAGGTTACGCAGTCATTACGACTGACATATTTCATAAAGTTTTCCTCTTTGACAATTATTACTTGGGCAATTTGTTCTTCTCTTTGATTAGATTTATGATTGCTGATTTTCAGTGTGATCGTTGTTTGCAGGCACCATCTTAAAGTTACAGGGTCGTCACAGGGTTGAGGATATCAGAGAAGTTGTAGTTGGTATAGGGCTCCAGGTTGTGAGGTTAGTGCTTACTGGTACTTACTACATATTGCAGATATGTATAATTGCTATGTTATAACGGTGTTGTTTCCTGTTGGCTTAGGGTGTATGTTGGAGGCAGTGCGAGTTACCTGTTTAAAACTAGAAGCATTGAAAAATCAAGACAGTTACTTTCTACTTTAAAAGTTATCGATTCTTTTGCCCCAAATGGAGAACTTTGCTTAAGGAGGTAGTTATCGTTTTTCCCTTTCAGATGTCTATTGTTTATTTGATTACCGATGCGAATATTTTGATTTCCTTGTTGTGATAGACGAGTTTTGGGAATTTAAATGGCAGTTTGGAGCAGGTTCAGGTGGAGTTATTTGAGAAACAAATATGTGGAGGTTCAAAAGTGAGCATATTCCAGTATTCTAGGTACAGTTTTGGTGTAGTTATAATGAAGGTACGCTTAGGTCATCAGTTTTCATATATAATCGCCGTCGATTGTAATTTTGTCATGAGTTGATTTACTTAAAATCAAAAGGCAGGAAGTGTATAATAATCATTTTGGTAAACTTGTCGAGAACATCCCATAGTTAGCTTTTGTTACGCTACTGTTGGTTTTGTATCGATGAAGTTTGATGATGGTCAATAATGAGGTTTCACTATTATATTCTTCGAATGTCACTTTAGAGTCTACTTTTCAAAGCGGGGATGGCCTTTTTTCAAATTATTTTGAAAAAGAAATGAAAAACAGAAATTTCATGCTCGGTAACATTCTTATCTCATATATGGCAGGTGAATCATGGTTTTCAAGATCATTATTTGTGGCTGGAGGGCACGTATTTTTGTGCTTTGAAGACCTTATGCAGTTCAGCTCTTTATGCGTGGATGCGTCTTTGCCCCCATATTTTTCACTTGACTTGTGTTGCTCTATTGCCGACATATCTGAGTTGGTAATGCCTCAAACTGATTTTTAGCTTTTCCCTTAAAATTCCATCTAAACGGACTCTGGCAAATTAGGTTCGGGTTCATTACCTGGATTCAGTAACATTTTCGTTAGAGCTAGGGGTTGATGTCCCGTTTGTTGTCATTTAAGGTTGTCGATGTCAGAGAAAGTCGGTGTGTAACCATAGCTGTTGCGTGCGCAATGTCGGAGTTCTGCCCCCCAGGCTCAGCCGAAGCGGGCAATTCAGACTCAAGTGTAAATGATAAAAAGATTGCTCCAGGCTCCATGACTTGGAAGCTCCAGTGGTTTTCCGAAGAGAGTCCGTTCAAGTTTGTGGCGTTGTTGAAGGCAATCCATGAAGGGATGACCGCTTCCCCTTTGCTTGTAAGATTTATATCGTGAATGAATCCCTTCCTCGCGGTTTTGTTAGTTTCCATATTCATTTCATTCTTTTCAATTTGTTTCTTTTCCCACTTAGTTTGTTTGCCTGCCGGCGTTAGTGTTAGCCGGCCGGAATTCTTTGATTTGTTTTCTTAGTTTTGGCAGTTCTTTTTCTTATGTACAATTCTGTACAGTTTACAACATACAGGAAAGAAAATCGACAGTTTTGCCAATTGTCTCAGTTTGTACACAAATTTGGTTTCAAGCGAGCATGTTACATGCCCTTACCTTGCAACACTCCGTCATCGCGCGATCAGGATTGTAAGCCACCACGGTGGTCACGCCAAGTGTTGCAAGGTGAAGGGCAGGCGACATCTTCACCAAAACGGAAAGATCAGAAGGGATATGATTTACGCACATTTTTTCATTTCTGCATATCCCTGTTTATTTCTGTAGCTTGATTTTTCTTACGTTTTATTCAATTGAAAGGCCAGAATAAACCGTGTAGACGGAGAAAAAACGTGTGAGAAAGTTGCAAGGAACACAAAGGTATCGTTTGGTATGCAAACGGGAAGGGATGGAACAGAATAGGACAGGACGGGATAGGACGGAACGGAACAGAGAGGGAGTAAAGATACCCTCGGATGGAAACGAGGAAGGAGATGGAGAGGTTATAATTTTGTGTTCCACAGATGTGGAACAAGTCGTTCTAGGAGGGTGAGATGAAACGAAAATTCACCTAAAATTTGTCCCATGAAACAGGGCTTTCCACCCGTTTTAGGCCCACCAAACGTAGGACGGAACGTTTTGTCCCACTCCGTTTCGTCCTGTCCCACGTACCAAACGGTACCAAAGGAAACAGGAACTAAATACAACGAAGCGAAAGTATGATTAAACGAAGTTAACAAAGAATACCTCCTAACAGATAGGTACTAAAGAATTCTGATCATTATTTTACATCGGCCCTCCCTCGTAACGCTGCTATCTTCGCTACGAGGACAGCACGAACAGCGAAAATATTATTGTTCTTGGCTGCGAAAATTCAGCTTGGAACGAGCAGTTTACTGATGAAAACAGCCGATATCCACCCGGAAATGTTTTCCAGTTTCCAATCATCATGAATCTAACGGTTCGATAAACAAAATTGACTCGACGGCTCAATGTTACGGCATCAAATTCTCCCGTATAGCTACCGGAATCTCTTGCGTATCTGCTATCTGCGGCTCTTTTTCGGTTTTAGTCTCATGAAAGCCATGAATGTAACTGCTGCAGAGAGGGAATACCTAACCAAGAGAAAACACATGTAAGAGAACGATGCCACAGCGGGTCTTAACATTTTTCGAGTCTTGATGCATGATATGATGATATGAAGAAACAAAACCATACCATGTCAAAGTATAATTCAGATGGTCCTGAGGCATGACTGAACTCCGAATCAAGGTACTGACATCCTTTGGAAGCGGGTAAGGGTTACTTGGATTGACATTTTCGTTTGCGTCGTCAATGTAAACAGTATCCTCAGGGAGTCCACACGTACGAGCAATTGCAGGAACATCAACGTAGAACCATTGACCGGAGTTTGGATCATTTGGTGGAACAAATATGCTAGGCTTTTCACTCCCTCGAACTACTCCAACGACTTCAACAGGAGCAACAGCAGGGGTCTTATCCTGTAAGTGGCACAAATTAAGATTAGTTCTTTAATGTTCTCCCCATCGAACCGTGATTGATACAATGAAAACAAACAACCTCAACAACTTCGGGCTTCTTGCTCCACAACCTCCACCAAGACCTTCTTTCAGTCTCTTGGACAGACGAGGGGTTTATATCAGAAGGTTGTTCACCATCTTTGAAACCTTTGAAACCTCATCTTTCCAACTTCGGGGTACCCATCCTCTGTTGACCAAAATTGGTGGCTGCACACTGGAAGATCTACATTTAATATCATCATCAGCAAACAGATAAGCGTTCCAATTAGCTTGAAAGTCACAATGACAAATAAATATGGTATCGAAACATAAGATTAAGCGAGGCCTAGTGGAATCTTCAAGTTCTCTATATAAGGCTAGAACTTAAAACCATATCCATATAACGGAACAAGAAACTATTTGTTTCAACCCAAGGATGTACCCTACTCTACTGGAGCCAGAGTTTGACGTTGTATTAAAATCCTCAGATTCCTAGCAACTTAACCAACATTTCTTTCACTCCGTAGTATAAGAGAAACTGTAACAATAAGCAGGAAGAACTTCTGAATGTTTCCATGTAATTTAACACCCTGTTAATGCTAGAGGCCCTTTAAGCACTTATAAGAAAGACAAAAAGTAACACGATATGTAGCGGTTTCATTATATAATCACAGTTCATTAAGCATATGAAACATCAAAACATTTACCTCTCCGGTTTTTCAGGGATCGGGATAAGAGGTGTGATGATATAGTAGCCGTTTTCAGTCACACCGGAAATGCTTCTTGAACGAGGCCCCACGTATATTGACCTTTTCTCATCAAAATAACCTTTGCATTTCACCCTCCTAAACTCCAACTGATCCAATTCTTGACTTGACGGAGAGGCATTGCTCAAGTTTAAAGGTTCCAATTCCAACCTCTTCCGTCTATAATCTAACATTTTTATCTGTACCAAGAACACACTCGTTAATGGTGATCATATTTTTAATGCCATTCTAAGCTTGAATGTGAAGTGCACAAGGAACCAATTCATGAAAGTTTCCACTACATGCAACATTAGAACTAATTCCCCAACCAGATCTCAGATTCCACTTTTTGGGTCTAATTCCAGCTAAGTGTCAATTTTCTTCATATATTGATAATTCGTAGAACAATATGTTCAGCTTAACCAAAACATACAGAACCTCTAGTGATTGTTTATATCACAACAAGCAGTGCATGGACACATATATAAAACCTATGAAATCTTTGGACTTCAAATAATTTTAACGTATGAAATGTTTACAACAACAACAACACCGTATCCCACTAAGTTGGGTTGGCTGTATGAATCCTAGAACGCCACTGCACTCGATTTTGCAATAAATGTTTGTCAAACAAAATGTTAATCCTGAAATACATTTCAATATTTATGTGTATTACAAAACAATCGGTCTCCAAACTTGCTAAATCTGTTAATTGTTTAAGCAGGAAATAAAAGATATTCAGAGAAAAGCAACACCTTATCTTGCCTTCTGATAATCTGCCAAGTCCCAAGGCCAAAAGTGATAGCTCCAGGAAGAAACAGCAACCATCTCGACAATCTCGACCTTTCCTTCCCTACACAAAACAAATCAAAGCATCGATCTTTAGAATATTTCGAGCAAATTAAGAAAACCCCAGAAGCAGAAAACACACGAACAACACATAAGGCCCACCTGGAGATTGTGAAGAGATGGGTGATTGAGACTCGGCTGCTGAGGAAGCATCGGCAGGGGAGGAGCTGGAGAAGGAAGAAGAGAGTGATAGTGGGGCCAGATGTTTGGGGTGAGAAGAATGGGACCAGCTAGAATAATAAAGCTTGGTTATGGTTTTGGCAATGGAGGTTTTTGCTGCCATGTCGACGAATCTGGCATTTGGTTGTGTTTGTTGCCGCGATCGAGGAGGGCTTAAGGTTTTAATGCCTGCCTGCTCTAAAGTTTTCAACTTTTTATGAACTGCGAGAAAGAACTTACAAACAACATTGTGGTTTTAACGGGTCCAAACCCAATTTCAAACCCAAGTGAAGCCCAAAAAGGCTGGTTTAATGGCCCAAATTCAAGGTCCAAAGAGAGATTTGCAGTGCGAGAGTCACACGACTCACACCGTCACATGTTGTTACTAATTTTTTTCTTCATGTTCTAGTGTGTATCTAGTTATTTCGTGAATAATTTTTTAATACGAGTGTCACACTATCACGTGATAGTATAACATAGCTGCTTAACGAGAAAATTTTGGATGTGATAGCTCGACTAGCTAGATAACCAACTTGAATTTATGTGTATCTAGTTATTTACACTCATTTTTAACTCGCACATATCTCTTGTTAATTTATGTTCTTTGATTTTTTTTAATTCATTTGATCCAAGAGCTGAAAATTGAGAGCCACATGTGAGAGGTAAAAATTGAGATGTGAATATAGGGTGCGTTTGGTACGCAGACGGAACGGGACGGGACGGGACGGGAACGGGACGGGACGGGACGGAACGGACGGAACGAAGGTGTAATTTTTGACATGGGGTATATTTGTCTTAAAATGGTAAAACATTGCGTTCCACAAACGTGGAACAAACCCGTTCCAGGGGGGAGGTGAAACGCAAAAACACTCAAAATCTGTCCCGTGGAACAGCCCGTTCCACCCATTTTTGGCGCACTAAACGCGGGACGGAACGCCTCGTCCCGTTCCGTCCCGTCCCGTCCCACGTACCAAACGCCACCCATAACATACATTATAATTACACCATGTGACAGCACGATAGTTCTACTAAATTAATGGGTTCAAAATTCGAACCCAAATCAAGCCCACAAAAGATCGTTTGATTGGCCCAACTTGAAGATCCGAACTAGGGTTTTAAAACAGCCACACTCCACACGCCTCTCTATATAAAACCCTCCATTCCCTTCTGCAGCTTCATCCTTCTTATCATCTTCTGGTTCCACTCACTGTTCTTGATTATTTTTCATTTGGGTTTTTGTTAAATTCGATTTCAGTACAAGTACAAGTGTTTTTTTAGAAAAAAGGCAATTCGTTACTGGCGCGTTTGGTCCTCCGAATCGGAGGACTGATAAAATAATGCGACAGTCCTTTTAGTTGCCGAGATTTCTTGAGCAGCTATGCTTGCAGTTGTCGCTTCTCCCTTTGCGACTCCTGCATTCAGACGCTCGTAAACTTATAATTCTCCCCCTTTTTTTTCAATCTGTTCTCCCTCAATTTTAACACGCTGCCGGTCTCATGTCCGAATAAGGGATGAGAGGAGGGGCGTCAGATGGTCGACAGCTGATTTTTCGTTTTTCACGTCGAATCCCTTTTTTTAACCTCTTTTATGAGTCAAGTTTTGGAATTATTTTTTTTAATGATATTTAATCAGTTTTTCAGATTTTTATGTCCTTAAAATTCGCTTCTTTTTGCATTTGGATTTGTGGGTTTTGACAAATCATGCTTTTGTTTTGATTTTATAACATAAATTCTTGTGTTGGGGGTTTTGCACTCCTCTTTTGTTTGTCGATACGATATTTTAAATTATTTTAATTTTAGAGATGAGCGGATTTGAATTCGAATGCAATGAAACGAGTACATTACTCTAATCGATCGGTCTAACTCACATGTCTGTAGATTTATAGTGTAACATCCCACATTGTTAAGAAATATGTATGTTTTTATCCTTACTTGGTACGAGATTTTTTGGGAGTTCATAGATTTGGGGTTTCATCGGAACTCTAAAATTAAGCGAGTTCGTGCGAGAGCAATTTCATGATGAGTCATCCACTGGTAAGTTCTCGTGTGTTTTCTTAGAAACAAAACTGTGATAACGTGATTGAGGCTTAAAACGGACAATATCGTACTACAACGGAATCGAGTCTGGAATACTAAGAAGTTACAGCAAAAAGAAGATAGAAGTCAAAAGAAATAGCATTGTCATTAGATTACAATAATCATTAATTTGATAATATAGCTTATGTCTGATGATTAACTAAACTGACAACCCTAAAATGCTGCAATGATCAAAGCCATGAAGACGGCAGCAATGCCCGATCTGCCGGGCGCTGACGGTGCGTAAGCTGCACTCTCTGTACCTCCGGGAGAGTTGCCTGAGGAAGAACCTGGCACAAAAATGTACAATGTACAATCAGTAAAGACACTAATCTAACCGTGAAGCTTCAAAAATCCGGCATGCTTTCGCTGTCATTTGATCGAGCAATGATTCTAATCTAGGCGAGATACGACTTCATGTTTATGTCAATAAAAAGTAGTAGGAACTTACTACTGTTAGAAGGTGAAGTGCCTGGTGACGCTGCATCTGTGATGATGGAAGAAAACAACAAATTAAGATAAACAATCATACATAAAGATTGAATTATCTTGTTAATTAGCATCCATTAACACAAACTAAAATTCCATGAAATCATTTGGGGAAACAATAGGTACAATCGGGAGTATGCTTGCCAGAGAAAAAAAAAAGGAATACTGATATATACACCCGGTTACACCTAAGATTTTGTATTGATTCAGAGCTTCGGATAAAATTACCGCCTCCCTTTTCTCTTTCTCCCAAACAAGCAACAAAGAAAGAAAGCATCTATAATCCATGGAAACAAACCATGAATCCCATAAACAAAATCCAAAAAGTTTAAATTTACTTTGATTTTATTAAAAAAGAAAGAAATCTCAAATTCCAGTTAAATCTGAAATTCACAGCCAGTTACCTCAAGCCAGCTGAAATGTCTTCATTGGCACAAAGCCTTAAAGCTTCGTTATGATTAAGGCGTTATGCAAATGTCCTTTGCTTTGCTGAAGAGGGTGCAAAGGCACTCGGCATCATCCGAAACCAACTTCTTTAGCGGCGAGCAGCACGTAGGGGGAGCCTTCTCCGGCGCGTTCAAATACGCCTGACAAGGAATCAGTTTCTGCAGGCATTGCGTACCACCAGCAGCGGCCTTCTGATCCGGCAATGCAGTAAGCTGCCGGCCTTGGGAGAATCCGAACAACTCGAAAAGGGACAGAAACGAGAAGAGAAGCAAGTGTTTTGAGATGGAAGCCATTTTTTTGAGAGAGTTTGTGTGTGTGTTTTGTTGGTTCAAATGGTTTGGTTTGTGAGACTTGTTTGGTGAAACTTTATATAGAGATTAATGAGTCAAATGTGATCATAAAAACTTCTATTTGTGGGTTTGGTTTTTTGTGACGGGTTTTCTTACTCCCATTGAGTAACCGTTTTCTTTGGCAGTTAGAGATCTTGATCCATGGTTTATAGTTTTATTTTTCCAAGTTTTTTTTTTTTTTTTCTGGTGAAATCCGTTGTGGTGGTTAAACTGCTACGTCGTATTACTAATAACGAGTTATAATAACGGTGAAGGACGTGGTTGATGTCATAGAGTACAATATCAACAAACATATCTAAGTGTTATAACATGAATAAAATGATAATACTACGTGACGACGGTGTGACAGTCACGCTGAAAAACTTATCGATATGATGATTCTTCTTTGATGAAAAAGTTAAGAAGTAAAGCAGTTGGGCATCCAGACATAATATGGTAAGTTGGTAACCCTACAAAGTTACTTAATTCCTTGATAACGTGTTGCTCAATCAATTCAATAATTGTTATTTGAGTCATGTTATGAAGCATAATTACAATACATCAAAAGGGGCTTTATGAAAATTAACTTGAAACATTGAGCTGCTCCAACCCCTTTACTTGTACAATTGGTTGAACCAAATCTATAAGTTAACCCAAACCCTTACAATTGGTTGAAACATCGAGGAATGATTGGAACTACTTCGTTTGTGGCATTTTCACAAAATGTTTCGGTATATCTTATACAACAGAAATTTTAGCCGTTAAATTTTTGGTTAATGGATTCTTAGTTAAAGATATAACAGTCAGATATCTCAATGTATAGAACATTTTTTCGACAATCAATCTAAAAAGATAGACAGTTGATAATGCGAAATTCATGCAGGAAGGTGAAAGGAAGTGAGAGAGCTGCCTGAACACCCTTACTTGTGTAACTAGTTGAGACAATGCTATAAGTTAGACTAACCCCCTCATCAGATTTTAGATCAAGGTCTTGTAATAAATATTGGAGGAAATTGAATATATATGCAATATTTAGAAAATGAACAGAATAACGAGATTACATACGTTGTGAAGTAAGTTGAAGTAAATGTTTGACATTTCATTAACTTGCTAACTGATTATCACTAATCACTTGAAGGCTACTATAAACTCGTAATTGATATAGCGTTAGCGTGCTTTGCAGTTGAAGATGAGTGTTTGTATAAGAAGTTTGAGTTTGGAGCGCCTGGATATTGGCACGGCTCAAGCAAACCATGGAGTCGAATCATGAATCGACACAAGGGTAAGCTTGAACCGTGCCAATACCGAGAGTGCTTTTGCATGCCTCAACTCAACGTGATCGGAATGGAAGTTCTGCTTCAAACTTCTGAATTATATCATGAGAGCTTCAAACTTATCTTAATAATTTGGGAGCCAAAACTGAAGAAAACAAGGCAAAAACTTTGGAACATTAAACAAAACATTCTCCAAGAAATATGAAGTATCTGTTTTTGTCTCCACATGCGAGAAAGAGAAGAAACGCAGGGTGATTGCAAGAGCCAACCCTTTTAACTTTTTTCTCGACTAGCAACATTCTCATTTAACTTTTCTTGTTTTACTTTTTTGACTTTTCTTCTTATCTTATAATGTTGTATGATGATCTAAACCGTCTATTTTCTAAGTTAGCTTTTAAAAATCTACTATGTCAAAAATCAATCAAATCTGAAATCTTTAGTCATCAAACAATTATCCAATAAAATTTAAACAAAACGTCATTCATTTTGTTAAACACTTGAAAATAAAGTTTGACAAGATTATAATAGAACCGATTTTAACATTTTTATTTTAGTTGATTTTTTTGTAGAGTTAGTCCTTAAAAGTGAACTAGAAAACAAACAGTTTCAATTATCGTGCAGTATTGCAAAATAAGGCGGATTAATAAGAGAGAACAAAGAAATCTGAATGAGAAGGTCGGTAACATTCCCGTTGCCAATTTACTTGCATGTTTTCAGTTTTACACCCAACCTTTCAACCTTTCCTTGACATTCCCCAACTTTGGAGCCATTGCCAACAAATTCCTGTGCTGTGAGTGCTATCTACATGCATAATATGTAGACGTTTTTTGACAAATCCCTCTGTTGTTCTAAGAAAACCCACCAACCCAAAGCTATGAGACAACGACTGCATCAAATAAAAAACAGTCGCTTATGCGTGTATCAATAACATTAAAAGGTCGTACCCAGTGCACAAGGCTCCCGCTTTACGCAGGGTCTGGGAGAGGTGAATGCATCAATAACATTATAGATGTAAAATCAAAGTAATCAAAGTCCATTCGGGAATAACATAACCGTGTAGGGCTAGCACTTAGATGAATGGTCTGTTAACTCTACACTTCTGCTTATAAGCGCTTTTGCTACAAGCACAACAAATTGCCAAGTAAAATTCAAGTGCTTCCATAACCCATAAAACTCTTTTTAACTTTTTTCTTTCAAATGTCACTAAAAGCCCTTCTGGTTATCCGAAAGCACTTTTGAAATGAGCCCCTTAATCATGTTACAAATCACATTAGAACAAACAAGCTGAAATTGGGTTATTGAGTTTGGCAGGATCAAACTGTGTTTTCGTTTAACAATGACAGGATTGGAAATCTGCCATCAAACTATGAGTTTCGTTTTTCTTTTTTTATTCAACCGACATCGTATAATCTAGTCTAAACTACACTGAGGGCGGTTCAGACTTAGGTGCATGGGGCGCGAACACTTGTTCTCTGCTCTAACCCGCTTGACTAAGTCTGGGGTCCGCAAAACTATGTTTTCGTTTACTCTAAAACAAAAACGACAGGTTTGGAAAACATGAATTCTGCCATCAAGTATTCTTCAAATCGCCAGTGAAGAGGAAGTTGTCTCATGTGCACAAATGAAACAAGAACAGAACATCATCCGGAAATATCGAAGCTATTTACTGACAAACCAAAGGAGAATCGAAGGCGACTGGTACATGCGTAAAACAGATTCCCATAATTCTTGCCGTCTGATTGCTCACAAGCTTCAAACACTAAAGTTAGTTTGATTTTTACCGTCACCTTTTGTCCACATTTCACCGCCCTCTCCCTTCTTTTATACCATTTCACACTTCAATCCTCAGTCCTCAAAAACTTCTTGAGGCTTGAGCCAAAAAGAAGGGCTCGAACTGAGCATCATCGGTTGAAAATGGCGAAGATGGGGCGGAATAACGCCAACAGAAGCCTCGAGAGTCTGTTGGACATGGACAAATCAGTTGCTACGAAAGTCTCTGGCCCTCCTCGACGCCTGAAGATGATTCCGGGCCATGGACTTGAGTTCAATAACCTTTCGTATAGTGTAATGAAGAAGCTGAAAAAAGACGGGGTTTGGATCGAAAAGAAGCGTATCTTCTCAATGACATCTCTGGCCAGGCAGTGAGGGGTGAGATCATGGCCATCTTGGGACCTAGTGGTGCTGGGAAATCCACATTTCTTGATGCCTTGGCAGGACGGATTGCACAAGGGAGTTTGGAAGGCTCTGTTAGAATTGATGGAAGAACGGTTAGAGATCTATATTAAGTTTTTCTCTGTGCAGGACGTCCAGTCTTTCTTATATTTTTCGGAAACTAAAAGACAAAGATTACATATATAAAGTTGATTCATATTTTCAGGTTACTACAAGCTACATGAAGATGGTGTCGTCTTACGTGATGCAGGACGACCAGCTCTTTCCTATGCTGACTGTTTTCGAGACGTTCATGTTTGCAGCTGAGGTTAGGCTTCCTCCCTCCATTTCGAGGAATGAAAAGAGAAGGAGAGTCTATGAACTCCTTGAACAACTCGGCTTGCAGGTAAATTCCAAGTCTCTATAGCACACGTGTGTGAACTTACTGCACAAATTATATATCTTGATTCTGATGAGGTTATATGTGCAGAGTGCAACACATACTTACATCGGAGATGAAGGGAGGAGAGGAGTGTCGGGAGGAGAAAGGCGGAGGGTGTCAATTGGAATTGACATCATCCACAAACCTTCACTGCTGTTTCTTGATGAACCAACTTCTGGTCTTGACTCCACAAGCGCTTTCAGTGTCGTGGAGAAGGTAAAGGAGATTGCTCGAGGTGGTAGCATCGTGATGATGACCATACATCAACCTTCATATCGTATTCAAATGCTCTTGGACCGCATGACAATCCTTGCAAGGTAAAATTTTGCTCAAATGTTCAGAATCATAGGCCTCTCGGTCAATTAAGGATTTAAGGGTTGCAAACAGAGACTTATAATTTGACATGCATGATGCTTGTTAACTAAGCTATCTAATAATATGGTTGCAGAGGAAGACTCGTATATTTGGGAAGCCCGCACGGTCTGTCTGCTCACCTTTCTGGATTTGGAAGGCCAGTTCCGGATGGCGAGAATGGCCTCGAGTATCTCCTGGACGTGATTAAGGAATATGATGAATCAACTGTGGGACTAGACCCGTTGGTGATGTACCAACGTGACGGGATCAAACCTGATCAGGTGGCCAGAACCCCAGTTTTAAAAACACCAAGGAGAACTCCTTACAATAAGACCCCTGCATCCAAGCACGCAATCAGCCTCCGTAGTCAAGCCTAT